TTCGAAAAAAAGATCTGATTTGTAGATCCTAAGAAAAATCTGACAAAAATTTCAAACAAGGCCATTCTGTGTAAGAATATAAACTGGTAAGTATTTAGTAAACAGGAAGTTGTTGATTAAAATGAAAGTACATCACACAGTATAGCATGCTTACAAGCAGATTGTTACCAAATTTCAGGAAGTTCTGATTTGTAGTTCTTGAGAAAAGTGTGAATAAAAATTTCAAGGGACAGACAGGACTATTGAAAAGAAGGACAGACGTATTATTATTCATATACTAATCGATATAAATCAATAATTATATAAAGCATATGATATACATAGATAATTCAAATAGTTAGATTTTTTTTAAAGACTGAACAAATTAATGGCCTATTTTGTCATCCCCTATATTCAGCTTATGCTGTCACAGTATGTATTGGTACTTAACAATCTATAACAAGTTCATTCAGAACTTTACAGACTCAAGACTTCTAGGAAATATATAAAACTGAGACTTATAGGGATAGTAGGATCCCTTCAAACTGTTGAAGCTGATTGATATGCCATAATATGGTGCCTACTGATACATGACAATTAGAATTATTATTGTGATTTTTCAAATTGTTTCAAGCCTCACAACAGGTTGAATTTAATGCCATAGGGATTTTGTATACAGAAAATGCATATTCCAGTGCATGCTGTGTACCGACAAAAATTAATTTCTGCCTTCTAGCAATACAAACATGAATTTGCAAAAGAGCATGACCAATATAGCACGGCATATTTCATTCTCTGTATTTATCGACTTTAAACATTTCAGAAAGGATTTTTATAACGGCTGAAAACAAAGAAGATTTGTTGTCATCTTTAATTAAAAATTTCAGTAGTAGCAAAAATTGATATTCAATTACAGCTACCAGCAGAAATTTTTTCAAATGAGAAAAATATTGATGTTTCAAAAGGAAGTTTTCCAATATTCTATTTCATAATTCATAACATAAAACCGTTATCACTCCACATCTGTGAATTGAAATTCGTAATAAGTGTTAAATTTCTAATAATGATTTTCAGTGAGATAATCACATACAACTGCAGCACATCTAATTGTAATCATTAGGGCATAAATCATATTTACTTAGTTTACTTTGTATAAATTTAAGATTTGATTTCATTGGGAAAGTTAAAAATCTCAAATGTTAGCTAGGACTTTCGTAATCATTTTCACAGTTGAATAAATACATTAAATATGGGCACTATTCCGAATGCAAAATTGCAATTTTTTCCTTCTTTATGGAATTATCCCACCGATTATTCAGTGTTTTCTGATGAATTAGATACAAATACATTTTAATGCATTTTATGCACGCACTTATAAATATAGTATAGATTTCAACATGTTTTTTTTATTTACAAATGTACAAATTATTAAAAGGTAAAATTGTCTTAGTTTACATATGAACTAAAACCCTCCAGCTTTGATGAAATTTTTCTTAATGAATAAATGTATGTTAATCCTAAGGGAATGATTTCTTATTTTCAAAGTGCAGATATCAAAATCAGGTTCTATAAATCTTTTTACTCTATTTACTGGCATTTCCAGATTATTGAATAGTTCTGGAAATTTTGGAGTGCAGAGTTTTTACTCATCAATTTTGAAAATGGATAGATTTGGGTTTTTTCAGGTTAAATTTGTATTCACATTACTTTAAAAAGTTTTCAAATTGCAAACATGGCCTTTAATGCATTTTTGAAAGTTTAACACATTACAACTTGTCATTGTTTTTCAGCAAGTATCCATAATAAATATTGCTAAAAGTATAACAAAACAGGATGTGATAAATTGACAGTAGAAAGCATCAAGTGCAACCCAAGGTAATAATTAAAGGCTATTACATAAAATTTTCCATGTCCCTTCATCATGTATATATATGCTGACACTCAATCACTACAAAGACCTAGAAACAGATTTCCAATGCTAGCAATTTTTTAAGTTTAAGGATGTTCGCAATCATCTGGTTTTATCCTTGAAGTGCCATTACAAATTTTGCCCACTAACCCCTAATTTTCTTTTCATAATTTTATTACATATAGTTTAAAAATTTGAAAATCCTATAAAATCCTTGTTATTTTTTCATAGTTTTTAACAATGTTTAAAAGAAAAAAGGTGCAAATGTTAAATGTATGAAAAATCTAGAGAGAATGTTTTCCCGCCAAATTTTCAATGGCTTTTATTTCGAAAACAAGCCTTCATTTTTTTCTGCTTTTTCAGGTCCTTGAAATAAATATACCATAAACCAATAATAGACCTTTAATAAGCTTGTTATTTTAAAAACAGAGTAGCAAACATCCTTTATATTTTACTGGATCCTGCCTAAGTCTTTTTTTCATCTTGCTCCATTAAGAGAGCTCCTTTTCAAAACTTAATAGATAAAATTGTTTCACAATATTTTCAATTGACAATATTAACATTGGTTGAGACGATTAGAAATATTCTAATATAATTTCTTAAAACTTATTTTCATGTTTTCTTTTTTTTTAGTTTTTAAGGACTTATTGACAGGTTTATATACTTATCATTCAAACATGGCAATACTACTCATATGTCAAGAACACAACATCTTAAACCTAACATTCATTTAGGTATCTAGTTCACTATGACTACAGCACTATTTTTGAACTTTTTTTCTAAAATGTTGGAACTATGGACTTTTTCCCCCTTCATTATGTCCAAGTTTTGCCACTTGCTTCTTGTGGTGGATAAATAAAAAGAAAATTCTAAGATAAAGTGAAGAATTTTGGAGTAGAGGGACACGTCAGACAAAGTACATCCAATTTCCTGTTACAGAATCGATACACCAATCACGCAAGCAATTGAGTTTACAAATAGTACTCTCCTGCAATCAACTTAATGTACAACCATTATATAGACAGCAATAATTGATGACTGTAAATCGTTGTATCAGATGAATATTATTCCCCTGAGTACTCTGCATACAAAAATTCATGACGTTAAACATAGACTTTCAAGCAATGATACCACATATCTAAAAGGGAATGAGAAGAGACACTCGATCCATCTTGGAAACCGCAAACACTAGACTGAATACATTAAGTTTCTGCTGATGTGGCAAATTTCTTAATATTTATGAACCTCTCAAGCAGAAATGTTGTGTGCTAAATTCATAAAAATCTTATTTCAAGATATTTATTCCTTAATTAAGTTTCCCTTAATAAGGGGCGTTAACTAGCATACCAGTATAAAGAACGAATATGTTGGGTAAATATACTAATATCAAGAACAACTGAAGAAATCAAACGTTGATGTCTTTTGGTTTTTGTTGTTGCTGGGTTGCTGTCGCATCGAGGTATACCCATGTCTCCGTTAATTCACTAAGTTACAGTGATGTTACTATATCAATGTCTACACGCGCTGATTTATTCATTAGTGTTTTTTTTTTAATGTTGCCATATAAAGAACTCTGTACTATAGAATATATTTTACCCTAATACTGAAATGTTATCCAGAAAAAAAACCAGTCAGACATATGAACAAAAAGTAATTTCAATTGTAATGAAGATGTTCTCTGGAGAAAAAGAGAAAGAATAGACCAGGACACTGAAGTTGAAGTTATCACTATTGAAATTCGTGGATCTGCAATAATTGACCAGAGAACTTGCTGCACTTGACATATTGACGTCAAACACTCATTTGCTCAATCCTCCAATGCATTAATTATCTGAGTATCCTTTGAAGTTGTGCACCAATTAAATTGTTATTGACATTTGTTTACATGTGTGTAATTAGCTATTCCAAAGGTCTAATACTTATTGCAGTAAAAATAAGTCTTTACTGGACCAAACAAATTGAAACAGTTAAGTGCTGAGCTGTCAAAGGTGTAATTCTTCTGGGATACATGAATAACAAACCTTTAGGCCATGAAAGAAAATTCATTTACTAATCAGAAACAATTCTAAATGTCCTTTACCAAATGCCTGATTGACCTTATATGAAAATAAGATGTGTTATGATTACCAATGCTACAAATCTCCACCAGGGACCATATGATGTAGAGGTTAGCAGCTATAAGTCACCATATACCCTTCAACAATGAGCAAAACCCATACAGCATAGCAAGCTTTAAAAAGCCTGACATGACAAATGTGATACAATTCAAACAAGAAAACTAACATCCTGATTTATCATGTTTATGTACAATAGATATAAGAGGGGCCTCGGTGGCCGAGTGGTCTAAGTAGTTACTACTGTAATCACTAGCCAGTCAACACTGAGGTTGTGAGTTTGAACCCTGCTTGTGCTGGTGCACTCGACTCCAATCTTAATTGACTAGGATTGTCAGTTTTCCTATCGAAGGTCAGCGGTTTTCTCCAGGCACTCCGGCTTCCTCCACCAATAAAAACTGGCCGCCACGAAATAGCCCAAAAGCGGTGCTTAAAAGTGGCGTTAAAACACCAAAAATCAAATCAATCAATAGATATAAGAAGATGTGGTATGAGTGCCAATGAGACAACTCTCCATCCAAGTCACAATTTGTAAAAGTAAACCATTATAGGTCAAAGTACGGCCTTTAACATGGAGCCTTGGCTCACACCGAACAGCAAGCTATAAAGGGCCCCAAAAATGACTAGTGTAAAACAATTCAAACAGGAAAACCAACAGTCCAATCTATATAAAAAATGAGGAATGAGAAACACTTATGAACCACATCAACAAACGACAACCACTGAACATCAGGTTTGGGACAGACATATACAGAATGTGGCATACTAATATTTATTTTTCTCTAATTCTTCATCAATTTATCCCTTTCTGCACCCATTGTATAAAAAAATTTTAATCAACGTGTGGTTCGTTTGATCTCAGTTCTTCATTGGTTAAAATCTGATTATGACGTCGAATTTTCTTGCTTTCCTCTTTAAATTTGAAAATTTAACTGTCTCGAGTGGATAAATATCGTATCACACTCGATTCAGTGGTAGAATCTATATATAACTCTAACCTGTGTTTTACGTATACGTAAATCTGCCGAGGATTTATTGGAATGTTCTTCTTGTTCTATATTTTGTTCTATCACTGAAATTTCAAAATATATCATTATCAATACATGAAAATTTCATTCAAATGTTATACAATGCAACAAGCAAAAATGTTTATCTAATGAAAAATTAAATCATTTTGCTTTTATAATAGAAAATCAAAGTCTGAACATGAAAAATGTCAAAAAATTAACAATCTGATATCAGTCTATAGTTAAACCATTGAATTGTCCATTATTCAATTCAAGTATTTTCTGCATTGGTCTTAGTATCTATACATTTGGAAAATAGTCAACATTGCAAATGAATACAAATGCATACCCAAGATACAATAGCGAGACATTTCTTGACTAGACCATATAATGATTCCATTCTATTAATACAAAATGGATGTCTTACAAAATAATGGAAAATCTGTTGTTGGGAATAATATAAACTACATTACATAAATTATCAAATTTTTTATTGCATAATTGTTGGTCGATTTGGGTAAAAATTTAAGTGATAGGGATAAATTCTGGTGTGGCAAACCTGGTGGACCCCCCCCCCCCCCCCCTTTTCCCCCAAAAATTTTTTTTTTAGCAAAAAATGTAAAAATTCTAAGAATTCCCAAAACTACTAATTGTGCATCTGAAACATTGAAAATAACCTTATTGGAATATCTATCATAAGAGCCACATTATACATAGGTACAAAGTAGACATGTACATCCACCCTGTATCCCTTTTCCCAAATCTTTTTTATATTGCAATTTTTTTTATTTAAAGGACACCAGGATACAGGCATACAATGTGTAAAAACTCAATTCAAAATTGCAATAGGTATTGTGTCATGATCTAAGTAAATGATGACATTCCAATCCTTATTTTAATATTAAGTTCTGACATTGTAGAAGTAAAGAAAGCACTAATTTTACATGTTTTAGGCAAGTCACATGTAAAAAGTATAACAAGAGTGCACACGCTGAAATGTCTCGCCTGCTTTACTGACCATTGATTTTATGTTGATAGTCCTAAGTATAAAGCTTTCCTACAAGTATCACATAAACTTAACATGAACCATGAAAATGAGGTCAAGATCAGATAAACATAACCGAAAATACATGTACACCTTACAATCATTCCATACACCAAATATAGTTGACCTATTATTTATAGTTTATAAGAAACAAACTTAACCAGGAAAACTGAACATTGAACAATGAGCCATGAAAATGAGGTCAAAGTTAGATGAACCATGCCAGACAGACATGTATACCTTACAATCAATCTACTGTGGATTCATCATTATTCTTGGAGTAGCAATTTTCGTGGATTTCGTGGGTACAGATAAACCACGAATTTAAATGTTCAACGAATTACACATTTTCTATAAGGTTGTAAGCGCACACTGGCAAAACCGTGAAATCAAATATCCACGAAAATGCAAGTTTTTCTCAATCCACGAAAATTGGTACCCGCGAAAATAAATGAATCCACAGTATGCATTAAATATATTTCACCTATTGCTTATAGTATTTAAGAAACAAACTTTAATAACCATGAAAACTTAACATTGACCAATGAACCATGAAAATGAGGTCAAGGTCAGATGATACCTGCCAGACAGACATATACACCTTACAATCATTCCATACACCAAATATAGTTCACATATTGTTTATAGTTTAAGGAAAACAGACCAAAACACAAAAACTTAACAATTAACAATGAACCGTGAAAATGAGGTCAAAGTCAAATAAAACCTGCCAGACTGACATGTACATCTTAAAATATTTCCATACACCAAATATAGTTGACTTATTGCATATAGTATTACAAGAAAAGACCATGAAAATGAGGTTCAGGTCAGATGACACCTGCCAGTTGGACATGTATGCCTTACAATCATTCCATACACCAAATATGGTAGACCTATTGCTTATAGTATCTGAGATATGGACTTGACCACAAAAACTTAACCTTGTTCACTGATCCATGAAATGAGGTAGAAGTCAGATGAAAACTGTCTGACAGGCACGAGAACCTTGCAAGGTACGTACATACTAAATATAGTTATCCTATTACTCATAATATGAGAGAAATTAAGATTACAAAAAATTTTAACTTTTTATTCAAGTAGTCACTGAACCATGAAAATGAGGTCAAGGACAATGGACATATGACAGACGGAAACTTCATAACAAAAGGCATCTATATAAAAAGTATGAAACATCCAGGTCTTCCACCTTCTAAAATATAAAGCTTTTGAGTAGTTAGTTAATGCCGCCGCCGTTCACTATCCCTACAGAAGTCGCAGGCTCAACAAAAGTGGACATTATTTTACAAGGATGTATTGTACATAAATACACCAGTTATATAATTACTCTATGTCAGAAATTGAAAACAAATTGCATGAGTTGGATAGAGATTACGATTGTATATTTTTTCATGTATATACAAATGATATAAGAACTGAAACTCCAGAGGTTCTCAAATGTACTAAACAATGCATATATAGAACCACATGTTGAATTGAAGGTCCATATGTATTTTATTTTTAAATAGCTGTTTTTTTCATATTTTTGAGATATCAAATGTCATGACTGTACTGATTGATTGTTATTTTTTTTAATGCAATATTGAAGTAAATTGTTGGTATTAAACATTCTTAGGAAGGAGAATTTGTATTTCTATTATACATTTTTTGTTTACTGCTCACTAAGTTTAGAGTCAGTGTACATAAATTAAAAATAGAAAGAAACAGAAATACAGAGCTTTGAGAGGAGGATAGAAAATGTTAATTATTCAACACAGAGGTTGAGGATGAAATTCATTTTCTTCTTATAAACCTTATGTTTAAATTTCATAGATTTCTATTTACTAATACTAAAGTTATTGTCAGGAAACCAAATGTCTTCGGACGACCATGACGACGTGATACCAATATACGACAATTTTTGCGGTCGTATTAAAAAAGGAAATTTAAAGCTAAAATTGTTCAATGTGTCTTGACATTATATGATCTTATATAGTGAACAAATTTGAACTGTCAAGGTCTTCATTTTATATACAGTGAAAAAATTTAAATTGTGTCAGGGTCTTAATGGCATTTACAGTGAAAACATTTAAACTGTGTCATAGCTATACATAATTACAACCAATTACTGTGGTTTTATTGACAACTATTGACTAAAACTCTTTCTATAAACGTCATGTACTTGACACATCTAAATCAATATAATACAAATGTTGCATTTGTTGTCAAAGGAAATTCAATTAAAGAAAGTTAAACTTCAATAATTCTAATGGACAATTTTTACTTAAAGATTCAAATGGATTGTTGAACTCTTTAAAATTGCTAGTGTGAAATGAGCATGCCAAAAACAGACGATAAATCTAAATCATGGAAAACACTACATTAGAAGATTTCTCACAACTCTATCAATTATTGAAAAGTTTCTTAAACTGAGACTTGACTTATAATACAGTAACATATTCTCTCAATACCATACATGTACAATGAATAATTTGATTCAAATATCACCTTTCTTTTATTTTTCTAAAAAATCATTATAAATAAAACTGTTACAGATTTATCTAATACATAAAAATCATTATAGAAATCACTTCAAAATAAATGGAGAATGTGTCCATGGGACACAGATGATGCCCCCGCTTGCATATAACTTTACAAAAGGGCATAACTTGAGAACGGTAAAAGTGACACCACCCAAATCTGAACTTGATCTGTGTTTTGTGGTAATAAGCATTGTGTATAAAATTAGGTGGAAGGCAAACTAAATGTAGAGAACGGAAACCAATTTCGGGACGTACGTACGGACGGACAAGGGTAACACTTTAAGCCCTCTCCGGTGATGGCCGGGGCATAAATATTGGACAGCACAACAACAATCTACACGTGACTCCTCAAAAATACAAAAATAAATGTCCAAACAATAATTCTCACCACTTCTCCCTATCAGTTTCAAAAAGAGAAGTCACTTCTCTCTATGATTCTGAAGTAGTGTGAGCCCTGATGAATGAAAACAACAATGAACAACACATGGTCCAGATAGCCTCCCCTGGAATTGGCACACAATGTTATAAGGTTAAGATAGTTTTATGTGCTCACAAACCTTCCTTCTACCAATCAAGACCATATATGTCATAAAATGAAAGCACATAATAAAATGCTCCGCAGGGCGCAGCTTGAAACGACCGCAGAGGTCGAACCCTGAACAGTTGGGGCAAGTATGGGCACAACATTCAAGCTTGATACAGCTCTGAATTTGGATTGTGATTAAATATTTGACACAGCATAGGTTTCTGACACAGAATGAATGTGGTCTAAGAACTTAAAAATTTTAAATTGGACATTCACCTATTATGGTCCAATATCCAAAATCTAAATACATGGTTAGATTCAGCATATCAAAGAACCCCAAGAATTCAATTTTTGATGAAATCAAACAAAGTTTAATTTTGGACCCTTTTGATCTCAATGTGGACAAAGTTGATAACGGGGCCCAAAAATCAAAAATCTAAATACATGGTTAGATTCAGCATATCAAAGAACCCAATATATTCAATTTTTGTTGAAATCAAACAAAGTTTAATTTTGGACCCCGATTTGGACCAACTTGAAAACTGGGCCCATAATCAAAAATCTAAATACATGTTTAGATTCAGCATATCAAAGAACCCTAAAATTCAATTTTTGTTAAAATCAAACTAAGTTTAATTTTGGACCCTTTGGACCTTAATGTAGACCAATTTGAAAACGGAACCAAAAATTAAGAATCTAAATACACGGTTAGATTCAGCATATCAAAGAACCCCAATAATTCAATTTTTGATGAAATCAAACAAAGTTAAATTTTGGACCCTTTGGACCTCAATGTGGACCAATTTAAAAACAGGGCCCAAAATCCAAAAACTTAATACACGGTTAGATTCAGCATATTAAAGAACCCCAGGAATTCAAGAATAAAACCCCATTGAAATTGATCAAGAAATAAGCAATTTATATGAAGTATCTTCTTTTGCACAATACTGTGCAATTGAATATTTCTTACTATTGCGCAATACTGTACAATTGACAATTTCTTGCTATTGCGCAATATTGTGCTATTGGATATTTCTTGCTATTGCGCAATACTGTGCAATTGAAGATTTCTTGCTATTGTGCAATACTGTGCAATTGAAGATTTCTTGCTATTGTGCAATACTGTGCAATTGAAAATTTCTTGCTATTGCACAATACTTATTATATAAAATTTACACATCCTGTTTGGTGTGTATCTCCTACCATATCATTATTATTTGCTTTTAAATATAAATCAGAAATAACCAACTTAAAATGGAAAATTTTAAAAGAAAAAAAAAAGGAAAAGAAAAAAAAAAATCCCCCCCCAAATTATTTGAACCCCCTTATGATTCATCACCCCCAAACTCAATCCCAGCCTTCCCTTTGTGGTATGGTACCTTGCAGTACAATTTCAGAGAGATCCATACACTTGAACACAAGTTATTGTCTGGAAACTAGAAAAATGCTTATTTTTGGCCCCTTTTTGGCCCCCAATCCCTAAACGTTTAGGGCAATTACCCCCAAACTCAATTCCAGCTTTCCCTTTGTGATATGGAACCTTGTAGTACAATTTCAGAAATATCCAAACACTTACACACAAGTTATTGTCATGAAACTAGAAAAATGTTTGTTTTTTGCCCCTTTTTTTGGCCCCTAATTCCTAAAATTTTGAGGCAATTACCCCCAAAATCAATTACAGCCTTCCCTTTGTGATATGGAACCTTGTGGTACAATGTCAATGAGATCCATCCACTTACACACAAGTTATTGTCTGGAAGTTACAAAAATGCTTATTTTTGGCCCCTTTTTGGCCCCTAATTCCTTAACTGTTGGTACCATAACCCCCAAAATCAATCCCAACCTTCCTTTCGTTGTATTGAACCTTATGGTATCTATTCATAATTTGAAAAAAAACCAAGGGTAAAAATGTGCTTCTACTAAAGGAAGCTAGACGGTGTACTGAGCTGAGCTAGAAGTAGTTCCTAAGGCTTTGGGAAATCAACTGGACATTTGGTCAAGTAAACCATTCTTCTTAACTGGACCAGACTCTTTTTTACAGGACATTAACATATTTGATTTGGACAAAATTAAAAATTTTACTGGCCATTTGGTCCAGTAATGCATATCACTTATCTGGACCAAACCAATTTTTGACTGGTCTTAGCCCAATGTCCGGCGACCTTGTGAATGACTGAGCTAGCCACAGCTGTTTGTCTTATTTGATTCATATTTTTAAAGCTAGTTTTCCTTGTGCTTCTATCTTATTACTAGAACTGAGATTGTAAAATTGTGAAAGTTGTGTAACCATGGTAACAGCTACATGTAAAATACAAACCTTTTAATTTACCCCTGACTTTATTTGCTGTTTTCTTTATATCTGACATTAATTCTTCTAATTCTTCTTTCATTTCTGAAAAATAATATATTTAAAATATCTAGTTAGTTAAATAAAACACTTTCATGTATCTAATTTAAAAATTGTAAAAAAAATTTCCATTTCCTAAAGTAAATTTACAATTTTTAGTCATGTTCTTGTCAAACAACAAGACCATCACACTGTAATAAAGTCACTCAAAGAGTATACACACGACCATGTGTAATGTTCCTGGTTTATTTTAGGGGACCTAGTAACCAGCACAAATCAGAAACACAATTTGAATCTCATAAGGGTTTATTTGATTGGGTTTAATGCACTTTCTAGCTTTCTACACATTTATACAATATCATATTGGTCAATTTGAATCTACATTTGTATATATACTTTATCTGAGGCTGATAAAGTCTTTTGAAGAACAATGAATCACAAAGATCAATGACTTTTTGTATGATGACTTTTTTTTTTATTCAGCAATAATGCTGACTATGAAGGACACTGACTGACCAAAAAATACCTTTGAAACCAAATATATCTTCAAAGTGCTACAAAAATGTTGTTAACAATTTTCATTCACACATTTTTGTATATATCATATAATTTGTACTATGAATTTAACATTTGATGATCATTTCTACTTTTTTCTGTTACAGGAACTGATGAAGATTTCTGTGGTAATAATGTTGCAGCAATTTTCTTTTATATTATATGTCAATTTCTGTAATTCACAACTCAGCTATTACAAAAACAGATTGCGACTCTGTGCATGAAAATAACACCCTATAAATTTGGTGCGTCCAAAGAGTTTTTCTGGAATTACCTTTATCAGGAACGCTTAAACATGTTAAACCAAAACAATTATTCATATTTAATTTCACATATTGAGGAACAATTGTATTTTCATATTTGATCTTGTGGTTTAAACAAATTCTGCATACGGTACAACCTTAATGAAAATTTGCATTTGATGAAAACTAATATACCTGGTAAACCCTTAAACCCCTAAATCTAAGACCCAATTATTAAGATACTTTTAGTATCATACATAACAATGAATCCAAAGTATATAAATACGGTAACATTCCTATAGAAGAGGGACAAACAATTGGTGCCTGATTAAGGTCAGTCATGAAGTAGAATATAATCAATGGTAGGGAAAATAAATCAGATTATATCTAGTACAACCATGTATAATTATCGGACTAAATTATTCAATTAATTTTCAGAAAAACATGTCTCCATTGTAGGAAGTTTATTTCATTGGAATAATCAGTAAATAACAGTTGTAAATCAATCAGTTATTTCACAAATTCAATGGTCTTTATCTAAACATTTTTTTCTTTCTGATTCTATTTCATACAATGTGTCTACTAAATAACTACAATGATATTTCAAAGTAAATCAACAGTAATTACCAACACTTGCTACGAATGAATCATAAAAAAGTATTTTTTTAACAGAATTACATATATGTACTTTTACTATATTCTATATAATATATTCATATATCAAATCCATAAAACAGTTTAATTCTTTCAAAAGAATGACATAACTACATGAAGTCTTGTTTAACTAGAGGGTAGTGATGGGAGCCATTAAAGAGGATTGCTTTCTCATTGACCATGTTGACATTTCTTATAATAAATTATCTCCCTTGAAGGAATTATTTTGTTTCATATTCATAAATGGTGCATTGTTATTTCAAAATCTATCAAAACTATTATATGGATCTGTAATAACAATGGCAATACTGCATGATGTCTTAAATAAATATATGCTAGTGTACCACCTTTGTGTGAGGTTTCACTGAAATCCGTCGTTGCAGTGCCAGTGAGGAGGATTTTTATATACAAGACAAGTAACATCATATGCAAATCAATCCATAGAGATAATAATTAACTTCCCTTCAAGATGTTAAAACTGAAACTATTTTGTTCATATGGAAAATCTTAAGCAACGTTAACTAAAATTTATTTGATGGGTTAGGAAAAGATGCACTTAAACAGATTATGGATAGAAAAGAGGGGGAAAGATGGATGAAAGAACGGATATCTTCCTTCACCCCCCACCCCTACTCTCCCAAGGATCATTTAGCAATATTTCCCCATGCTATCTGAATGTTTTCTTAACATTTTGTTATGAATGTCTTGCATTAATTTCTCCAAAAGATGCCTTTATGTCCAAGAAGGATGCAACATCCAATTTATGGGAAGAAAACTGATCCTTCCATCATCTGTGGGGGAGAATGTAGTATAATAATACATCCATTATATCTGATGATTACAGGGTCCAAAGTCTGATATAAATTGATTTTAATTTACACTAGTGTTATAGGCGGGAAATCACTATCTCTCTTACTTTACACCTACACTGATCATTCAATATTGTTTCATCAGCAAAAAAAACAAACTTTTCCACATTGCATGCTGACAGTAATTTTGACTTCAACTCTAAACTGTAAGTTTGCCTGACCAATTACGACCTTGTTTTTATTGATTTCTAAAGCCAATACCAGAGGGTGGCAAACAAGAGTTTTAAATTAACTATATATATCTGGGTTATTGAGTTTTACCATAAATAGCTAGTATTCAAGTGGTAGAAGTGTTAATAAAACACAGTACAATACATGTAGTTCACATTTGTGTAGACTAATGAACATCTATTTCTAAATAAGAAAATTCTGCAACTTATTTATGTCTACCAGTGAAAGACAGGTATTTCTATATAAATATTCCAAGGGTTAAATAAAACCACTTTAACAGATTTAACAAAATTGTCAACAATTTAATAATTCATTTCCTGATATGCCTCATCTCACTACAAATTAAATTCAATTTGACTGAGCATGCATTTTTTGGCAAAATCTTGATTTTTTTCCCACTAGAAATATTAAAACTATTTCAGAAATTATAAATCAGTTATCATATTGGCAAGTCTTAAGCGCTTTCAAAAGCTAAAGAAATAGACAAAAAAAACTGTGTGAGGTCCAGCACTGAATTACAATTGAATCAACAAAGTGAATTATGTAGTATAACTCTAGACAAGGAATAAGCCTCACATTACTATTTAATTATGATCAATGTGCATTATATTGAGTTTTCCAAAACAAATCAAGCCAATTTTTTCACACTTTTATTCCATTATCTAAAACAAGTAAAGTGCTTATTGATTTCATTGAAGCTGTTGTGGTTCTATTAAAAGCATATATCTCAACTTGTAGCGTGCTGTCAATTTGCACCACATCATTGACGGCAATTCTTTTGTAAACAAAACCTCATAAAGACATCAATTTCATTCAATAAACTACAATGAATGAATTATCAGGTGAGCTTTATAAAAGTATTAATGGCATGATCCAATCAGATATCTATGTTCGGAGATAGAAGTTTATAGCACTAATAATTCTAACGGCCAAAATGGTAGAAAAAAATATCTCTTGTTTTATTCTATAGACACAAAAATGTAAATATTTATACCATAAATTTAGAATGATTGTATGCTCTAACTATTGTGATTACTGAACAATTGACAAAAACGCAAGATTAGTTATTGTGATTTCAGGAAATGCTACATACAAATAAAGCGATAAAAACACAAGTTTTTACTTTTGCGAAATCTATCCCATGGCAATTTTTACAATAATAGAAACATCTGTATAATTTCTGAATTTACAGTTGTTGTAAAATCAAAGTTTTATCACCCTGAATCACCAGCAATCATACTGTTTCTCATGGATCCAATCAATACACCTAAAGTGATTTTAACTAAATCACCTTGCAGATACTGTAAGTCTTCAATACACATTTTTATTACAAAAACTAAATCTGCAATTTTTATAAACGGTTATGCTTGATTTAGTCAATCTGGCAAACCAGCCAAATATCAGAGAAAATTTGTTAATTTCCCATCAAAATTATGTATCCACCGTATATAACTTAAAGACTCTTATCTTCTATTCTGGGATAAGGTTGTTTTCGTCCTGAACATGCATGAAATATTTGCTACTGGTCATAGAGCAAACAACAATCAAACAATCAATACTGGGATAAGGTATAAAGTTCACAGTTTCATACCAAATTATTGCTCTGAACAAAATAATGTAAATTAGACATAAGAGTCTGAGTATGGGGAGAGGCCTGCTGAAAGTTGTTTATTCTTACAAGTACTACCAGAGATTTACAGAAATATTACCATTCATAATTCATAAATTTTTACAAACAAAACAACCCGTTTCATGTCATCCAATTTTCCTGCAACATATCAGTTCAATTTGAACTTTATCTACAGTAACTTAATTAATAGTTAAGTATTGGAATGAATACAGTGAAACAGCTTGTCTCAGGTGATTTAACCTTAGATTAACTTGGGTTCAACCAGAGCAACTTAAATTTCAAAACCTGATTCTTTTAAATAAAAAAAAGAATGAACCACTGTTTAACAAATTTATTGTTTTAGTTATAATTTACACAATACACTAAAGGTTTTTTATTAGTTTAAACAATATTTATTGAGATAAATTTTCACATAACAATTCAATACGCTTGAAATAAATATCTATATTTATTAATGTGAATAGGACTGGGTGTATATCCCAATCATAAATACATGTACATGTATGCAGCTTTTCCTGAAATGGCAATAATTTATTTCTAATTTTAGATGCTCACATCAAAATCATAATAATAAATGTTCACAATGATATCTGAATTTACAGCATATCACCAAATAAACAAGATATTTTCTGGCATTTGTGGATCAGTAGTTTACTGTTGGCATAGCCACTCAAGAGTATTTTTAACTTTCTACAACCAATAAAGTCATCAATGTATTTATACCAATCTGTAGAAATTATTTGAAACCCTGGTCAATAATCTTGTTGCCCTTAGCTGTCTTCTTTCATATATATATATATATATCTTCTTGGGTCAGAGCACATGAATTCGCCAGTAATTGCTGGAAAATTGCCACTTATAGTATTGTTTGATTGAAAAAATTAATCAAGTGCCACTTACATTAGGATTGAGGTTTTTGTATTAGTTAATGAAATTTAGGAAGTTTTGTCTTTGACATGGTTTAATATTTGTTCTTTACATAAAGCATATTCTGACCAAGTCTGCCAGGTTAAGTACTGAAAGTGACAATGAGCACCAATGTCCAAACACATTTATTGTCCCACTTACATGTACATCTCAAAGTGATTTTATTAAATGATAACTTAACATTATTTTGCTGATACATTCAGGTTTAGAAAGTGTGTAAATATTTCATAAGATGAATAAACTTTCAAATTGTGGAAATAAGTGGTGACGTCAACTTCCTTTGAGGTGACAGCATTGGATTCTGCACAAACAACAGAATACACAGAATACACATACACATGTTGTGAAGGAAAATTTTTTTTCATTTGTATAATCAAATCCAACTCGCCCCTCAGACAAAGACAGAATTGGGTTTTCACCACCAACATGACCAAGCTTCAGAATAGTTTGGGTTTTTCACCACAACATTCCATAATGTATTTGGTTTTTCCATCATCAAGTTATTGAATTGCGATCTCTAGACATGATAGCTCAAATCAAGATGGTGATCCTTTGTTATCTTTTATCAATTTCAATGAAGTATATGAAGCTTTATTTGGTATATACACTGATGAGCAAGCCTTTTTTTAAATTTGTGTCATGTTTGTTTAAACATTCCTACCAGTTTTGTATTTAATAAACAAACTGGCAGTAGTTTCTATAGATACGTTACATAGTGATGTAAAATCAAAACAGAAACTGATCCAGTCTGAACAAGATTAATCAATATGGACTGTACATGTACTGAACCATCCTCAAAAGTCTGGATGCATTAAAAATCCAAATTCATATTGCTTAGCAAAAATTTAAAAGTCCTTTAAACAATGACCAGATTAAGGTTTTCTCTTGACATAACGCCTTAAAAATATGTTTAGACTAAATTTGAGCAAGGGCCAAATTTTAGAAATTCTAAGCGGAACCCGGAAAGCTATTTGATTGGGAGCTCTATTTTTAGAACGAAAGTACGTTTCCCAAAATTACTTTAAAAAAAAAAATAAATTAAGCGAAAACAATTTATAGATTAGGGTAAATAACACACTCTAAGCTACTAGAAAAATTGGAGACACAGAGATATGTAATTGGGTTCTCCTTTGCTTTAATTGGGTTTTTGAACACTTAAATTGACAAATGGATTGGGGTTTTTATTGCGTAATCAAGCAAATACACAGCTGCTTATCTGGAGCTCTGATATCTTAACTCTATACATGCTGAATTGTTTTCAGAAAATGTCTATTTTCCTTTTAGTTGTAAAGATATACAAATTTTATACAAATGAGCTATACCTTGCTGCAAGTGCTTCCAGAGGAACTAAGACAATAAAGCTAACACAGGTGATCCCTGGGTGGAGTTGTTGAGGTGAGAAGGAGGGGGTGGCTTGGTGGGACGCCTGGGTCACTCAGTCACAAAAAAGAAGCCCTCCAAAATTGCCATTTAACTATGATGTCAACATACAACAACTAGCTTCTAAAATTGTTGGAAGCCATTAGAGCTAAAACATTTATTTTGAGTAAAGACCATATAAGTACACCCCGGGGCCCAATATTTTGAGAGTTACAAAGTCATCATCATAATAAACATGTGCCACGTCCACTCTGTGTTTTTGTTAGATGTATTTCTATTTGTATCCATCTGATGAGTTAAGCCTTTTTCAACTGATTTTTATAGTTTGTTCTTATGTTGTACTGTTACACCACTTTCCTAGGTAAGGGGAGGGTTGGCGCCTTCAAACTAGTTTAACCCCGCCACATTCTAAATGTGCCTGTCCCAAGTCAGGAGCTTGTAATTCAGTGGTTGTCGTTTTTTGCTGTTTCTCATATTTGTTTTTTTGTTTATTGTTTTGCATAGTTTGTTCTTATGTTGTACTGTTACACCACTTTCCCAGGTAAGGGGAGGGTTGGCGCCAACAAACTAGCTTAACCCCGCCACATTCTGTATGTGCCTGTCCAAAGTCAGAACCTGTATTCAGTGGTTGTTGTTTGTTGCTGTGTAATCATTATTTTGTACATAAATTAGGCCGTTAGTTTTCTCGTTTGAATTGTTTTACATTTGTCATTTCGGGGCCTTTAATAACTGACTATGCAGTATGGGCTTTGCTCAAAGTTGAAGGCTGTATGGTGACCTATAGTTGTTAATTTCTGTGTCATTTGGTCTCTTGTGGAGAATTGTCTCATTGGAAATTATACCACATCTTCTTATTTATATATGCGTCAACTTCATGGAAAACTGCCATAATCCAAAACTTTAAAATATTGGAAGGATTAACTGACACACAACAGACAGGAAACCATGATGCCTTCCTACTATCATAGACTTGGGCATAACATACATGTACTTTGTGCTATCAAAGGGAATATACATTTAATATATTTATGACCATTAAATCTAAATCTGGAGAACAATTTTTAGCTCGTATTTCTTTGCCATACACACATTTATCAAAGAACAACTTTCAGAAGAATGTTGAACCCACAATTGTATGGTCAGGTCATATGTTTTCGTACGTCATATGAATTCGTACTATGCATGCTTTTTCAATGGAAATTGTGACGTCACAATGCATTCTTAATAGTACGAAAACCCATGAGACGAGGATATATTTGTAAAGGAAAAGTTAGTTTGAAAACTTACTATCATCATTTTGTGGTGCCATTAAAATCATACTGTGTTTTTTCTTCACATCTTCCACATTTGCTGATATTTTATCTATCATCCCCCTAATCTCCTCCACCTACAAGTTGACACATAAAATTTATAAACAAACAAGAGCAGAGCTAAAATATTATATAAAATAGGCATACTGTGATTTATTCCTTTATTTTCTTTGGTGTTTCCATACATTAACTTGTCGGAACAAAATTTCAAAGGACATTTAATTCTCTGTCTCAAATGTTGTTTTTAAAACCTGTAAAATTTGTCCCATAAATAATCTTATTTTACAGGACTAACAAGATTTAATCTGGTTTTTACAGGAGAACCAGTGTCTTTTGCAAACTCTGCTAATTTTCAATATATTTTGCAATAGTGAAATTACAACAGCAATCTGATAGAGGCTTAAAGGAGTCTCAATTGCTGATCTGGTGAAAACATATAGTGATTATCATATACATGTACTGGTATACATGTACCATGTTGATATTACTGGTAACCATGGTAACAAAGAACTGCTGGAAGGAGTTAATTTAGCATTACATTCATCTTGGTATTTTTTAAGCTCTGGTATGAGTTTTTATGCCGCTTACAGTTTCTGTAGACGTCTATTACAGTTTTAACATTAATAATGTGTAAAAATGCTGATTTTTTTTCAAAAATAGTCATTCAAGTAAGGGCAATAACTCATGTAAGTTGTCAATATTTGATTTCAGTTATATACGTGTTTGGGCATTTTGATGATCTTGTATTGATCATCATTTTTTTGCAACTTACAGTTTTTGATACAGTTAAGGCCATTGTGACTCGTGCTTTTTTACCCTTGTTAACGAATTTTAGGTGAAGGTTCAGCACTTGATTTTACTTTGTTGCGTTTTATAAAACCATTGAAATGCTTCTTCTGTTTGGTTTTGTGCATATTTTTCATATCCAACTCCCACCCTCAATCCACCAGTGTGGCCACCGTACACTAGCATAAATCATATTCAGAATCTGAACAATAAATGCCTCAAAGAAATATTTTCATATTAATAAATCTAAACAAAAGTTTGTACCTGTTCAAAGAACATCTCCATGAAACCACCACTGTCAACATTGACAGCAACATCGTCTGCGTCATCATCATCACTCTGTGCCTAAAATAAAACAAACAAGTACATTAACATATTAATATTGTTTGTTATGGTTTAAGTGTATTTTTACATGAAATAACCAGCATAAAAAAGAATCTAGGAATAAATTAATGTGGCTCAGCTACAAATACATTGTATATTTTTTTTAATCAATTTGATAAATTATCATTTTTCTTAAACAATATCTTTTACATGCACTTACATTTTGAGAGCAACTGTTCTTCGAAATTTTTCTTCTCTAATTATTTGTAAAATTTGTTGTTTTTAGTAAAAGTTGGGTTACTGTAATGAACCATACATGTAACTTTCAAAAAAGGGCCACACCAAATTAGGGGCTTGCTCTTCTAAATCGCTGTTCCGCATTTTTCTGATTTATTTGCTTATTAATTCGCTAAGAATTTTTTTCCTGCATGTTAGTTTTACAAGAACATTTCCAGTGTGGAAAAAACAAAATGCCTTTAGTGGGAATATACCTGAACATTTTCAAGATATGTCTTTTGGGTCAGGTAAAGGCTAACATTTGCAAATGTTTTTTTTTTTACAATTACTAATGTTTTGATGGTAGATCTTTGCTAGTGTGTTTAATACATTCACAACTTAGACAAAAAAAATAGTGTGCTTATGGTTTACTTCCTTAAAATTAAGCTGGTTAGTCAGAATTATTTTCTAGTCACATTCCTGAAAATATCTTTTTTCATGAAATATAGTTCATGTATTATAGATATTGCTATCTAGAACTTTTGCCAATTTGTTAATGATCAAAATGACAAAAAAATGTGCATGTTACCATGTAGTTTTATCAAATAAGTAAAAGAGGGGCGAAAGATACCAGAGTGACATTCAAACTCATAAATCGAAAATCAACTGACAACGCCATGGCTAAAAAAGAAAAAGACAAACAATAGTTCACAAAACACAACATAGAAAACTAAAGACTAAGCAACACGAACCCCACCAAAAACTGGGGGTGATCTCAGGTGCTCCGTAAGGGTAAGCAGATCCTGCTCCACATGTGGCACCTGTCATGTTGCTCATGTTAGTACAAACCCGGTAAATAGTCTAATACAGTAGGTCACATTCGTGAAAAGGGAACAGGATTGTAGTTACGACATTAGGAACATATCAGCTATCATCTGTGAAACGGATATCCCATAACGGTCAACCAACTTGTGATGGCGTCTGTAAAATTTACGAAGGGATGATTTCCACTTCACTATTTGGAACTCTTGGATTAATAGCAAACTAAGAGGTTGTATTAAACAGCAACTGATATATAAAAATAAGTATGTGGTATGATTGCCAATGAGACAACTCTCCACCAGAGACCAAATGATGTAGACGCTAACAACTTTAGGACCGTACAGCCTTCAACAATATTCCAAGAAATCTGTATTAAAACATTAATTAGGGTTGGCACTCAAAATTAGGGTCAGTATAGGAAACCCTCAACACATATATATTTTTACTTTTTTTAACTTATTTCAACTCGGGAGAATTTAAAGCTTGGCTTACAATATAAGATTTTAAATCTTTAAGTCCAAATAATAATACTTTTCAATAATTGACTGTACTTCTTTATTCTGTCTATTGTTTGAGACTGTTATCATGTATATTGCCCCCTAGATGTATTCCCATAATCTTTGTCGTTGGTTTGTTGTCTTTTTGTCGTATAACCTTATGTGAAAATGAAAGGAATAAGACAACAAAGATCGAGTGGATTAACTTCTTTCACCAAAACATTAATGTGTTGTCTGCGTATGTCTTATTGTTATTTACTAATGTTTGTCCTTTTATTTTTATTTAGTTGATTATTTGGTGTTCCTTTTCATACATGTATACGTCAGCTCATTCATTATAATTTGTAAAGTACATGTATATGGATATATGAAAACAATTGGTTTCCTTAAGCAGCTTTACACAAAGACAACACGGTACAGATAATATAAAAGATCAATCTCAGAAAAATGAAGATAAATGATATAGGACATCTAAGAGAGACTCAGATCCATAGGACGTCGTGAGTAAAAATATTGGACACCGATTTGAGAAAGTGAATTTACATCGGTCATCGATTGAGGAACGGACATCAGTTAGAGAACAGACATTGATCAGAGTCTTTTTTAGCATTACAATCAAGAACCCCTGGGTCAGTAGCTTCCTAGCTATATATAGTAAGTCACAACCTCTAAACAGGAAATCCAGATACAATGTAGGAAAAGAACAAGAGAAGAGCAGTTCCAATAAGAACAATCCAACAATACAGTAACTAGAGGACATTACACAGTCTTCCACAAGTCAATATAGATAAGGGTGTATACATCGTACATGTATACCATAGGCATAGGCCTTTTACTTTACAGGCCCTGTACTTTTAATGGTTAGTATTCAATTTACGGTAAGCTAATGGTCTGTTTTAGATACGGTTGAGAATTAGTTTAAAATTGGCCTATTTGGGTTGGGACTCCTAAGGTAAAAGAAAGCCGTATACAATATTGCTGGAACAAATAAAACATGCTTAATATTTCTTAGTTATGACTGTCAGATTCCCCATAATTTTTCTTGGTCCATTATCATGATTATGACAACATATTACGTTTGTTTATGGTTAACTTTAAACAATTGGTAAATGTTTTTAAACATTAAACGCAATTACAACTTAAGGGGGAGGGGTGTAAGAAATCAGTGTCCTCTCAGGTTGATTTCAGTCCCAACTTGGCCGGCTAAATCCTTACCGCTTTTAAAGCCGCAAGACGATCTTTGGTCATTTTTCAACTTAAGTGTAAACTATTTTCATCAACTCATTAAGATCACTGTAGTCTTTGTATGTAATGTTACATGTTACTTCCAAATTCCGATGATACATAAGAAAATCGATACAATTTTAATATCGTCTACCATCATAACACAAGCAAGTGCGCAAGTTCATGCGGGGTTTCCTTCTTCCGGCTGTGTCGCACTTAATGTTTTTTTTTTTAGCGGGTAAATAATATTTGTTGTAGAATTTAAATTTTCAAAGATATTCTAAAGTACAGAAATCTTCCATCGCATAAGCTCTATTTTTGGTAGTTTATATAATATAAATTGCTGGAAAATACCCGCCAAAACCAGTTTTAAACCCCCCTTCCGGTGAATCTCTTGCGCCATTTCTTGACTGTAGAGGGATAGCAGGTAAAATCGTCTGTCATCTTATGGAAAAAATCAATTCAATTACACCTTTGATCAATTATTTGTATAGCAAACAACATGTTTCAATGTTTGTTCACTTCATTTTTAATTGATACTCATTCAACTCGTCCCCACAACCGATATACCTGACTGTCTTTGTCATTCTACTACTCATAAACGATAAACTTTACTGGAGTGAGATTTACAATTTCCGTCAGTATAGACGCTAAATAGTTACAGTACAAAACTTGTAGTGTATCACAACCTTAGGTTTATAGGCATCCAGAATTTCACAGTCAATTCTAAAAGAAATAAATAATTATGCGTCAAATAGGGGGAATGATGCCTATAATTTCTGTGATACACTGAATTCACTTACAATTGCTCATTGGATTTACTTCATGGAGGTGTAAACAAACAGTCAGTGATCAGCTCTTTGATATTTATTGGATCTTGCTAAGTGAGGTTTCATGTATTTAAAGAAATTTCGCCTTGATCATTGCTGAAGTGCAAACGAGAACCTTAAAATTTGTAGAGCTTTCATCGCCATTGTAACTTTGTTGATAATTTTATGAACCTGCAGATAATAAAGAACAGGAGATTTGTAATGCTAAGTAGTACCTCAGTACTGTTAAATATGTTCATTGTCAAGGTCCTCTCAAGTCTCGACATCACAGAGTCTCGTTTCTGTGAAGTGTTTACGGCATGGACCTACACATGTAGGCTGTGATATACACAGGATTTAAATTAAGATTTGATTTATGTTATAGTTACATTGGTCTGATTATGCATACATCTGACAACTAAGAACTAGAATGTCTATATTTTACTTCAACTGTTCAACACCTTTAAAACTTAATGCAAGAGAACAAACTTGATAGAATTTGAATGACTTTAAATTTACCAAGAATGAGTCAAAGAATAAAAACTAATAGAATTTTCCAAAATTATTTAAATTTTTAACAGCTCAGATCTTAATTGTTGTCAACAAGGCTGAAACATCATATCTATTTTAAAATTGTACTTTGGAACAAACTGGTTCAAACCGACTTTCAGAGCAATATTGCACAACATCAAACAATTTAAATAGGACAGTTGAAAAGAACTTACAGAAGAGCTGAAGATTAGATAGGTGTATTATAAAAGTTTTGGTGAAAAAAAGCGTTTTGTAAGAATTATTAAAAGTTAGTGAATTCACAAACTTTAAACTTTTATCCATTCAAAATCTCTGGATTAAAAATTTGTATGCAGGCCTGCATTGATCTAAGTATACTGACTTGTTCATGATATACTATCAATTTAAGTTGTGAGATTTTTTTGTGAAATGCAGGCCAGAGAATTGAGCACAGGAAAAATTTTCATTTACAAAATATCAAAAGGGCAGATTAAACAATACAGAAATCCAACAACAATTAATGTCAAAAGTCAAAAAGTCTTCTGTATTGCTGAACACTAGATGGGAGAATCTTTGAAATTATTTTCTGACATTTGCAAGTTTAGTGATGTGTTTTTAAACGAGTTCAATAGACTACTGGACTATTAATGTTTGTATTGTATTGTTCTTTTATTTTATTATTTTAGAAATTAAACAAACATGACAGAAGCAGCAGCACCTACCTTCAAGGTAAGTTGTGATCTTTATTTGAAAGAAAGATGGAACATCAAGCTATAACTGTTTTAATTATGTGATATCGTGTACAAAGATGTTGAAATACAAATGAAGCTACCAGCATGTAATGCTGTGTGGAAAAATGGTCTATAGTTTTAAAACTTGTATAGATGTGTACATTTGGTTCTTGTACATATATATAGGAATATTGGACATTGGTTATAGGCCATTGAGCTAGCAACCTATTTACATTTTAATAAAGAGAAAAACAAATTGAACTTGTTAAATATTTTCTATAACACACTTTAACAAATTATAGATATATGTACATTTGTTCAAGATTTAATACACACTTAAAGATGTTTAATTATATAATACAATCTTGATTACTTGTAATGATTTTATTTCGAAGAAGAGCAACTAAATATCTTTTTACATCAAGCACTGGTCTTGTCTAGATGAGTTGCAATGATCATTGTACATGTACTTCAATTTCTTGTAAACAAATTTTAATTCATTTATACTTACTTGCAGCTTGTTCTGGTTGGAGATGGAGGTGTTGGAAAAACCACATTTGTAAAAAGGCATTTGACTGGTGAATTTGAAAAGAGATATGTTGGTATGTTGTATGATAGCTATTTTCAAATGCATGTGTAAAATATATCAAGAAACCTGTCTTGAACCATTCTTGGGTGAAGAATGATCAAAGTGAAAAGTTTATTGTCATGATTGTGCACGTATGTTCTCAAACCAAAACTATAGGATGGCGTTTAAAATTAAAATTGGGTATAAGCCATCTTTTATCTAGATTAAAATAAATCAGTGCTGCAGAAATTCTATATTGCACACACTATTTGTTGAGTAATATGTACCTTTTATCACTCTTTACAAAAATCACTTATAAAAAATACAAATCAAGATAACATGAAAATAATTGGTGGTTGAGGGACGTTAACCTGCATAAAAGCATCCCTCACAAATAACACATTTAGGCAATGAAATTCTTGGACACTTGTTTCGCTACAGTCCCACATTTGATCTCGTACCCTAACATTGTTCGGATGTTTTCTCATTAGCAATCATGCCTCTTCTTATATTAATGGTCTATAGATAATGCTTTTCATTCAAATTGGGAGTTCAAACCATAGACTAAATTTGGTTTAATTGAGAATAACTTGAATAGGTGTCTATTATGATGTGCTACAGATGTGATGTGCGATTAAAGAATTGGCAATCATTTTACAAAATATGTTGAAACACAAAAAGGCCAAAAAAAAAACTAGCTACATTTCATCTATATTTCATTAATGAGCTTTAAAAATTGCATCCTGATTTTATTTTTATGCCGTAGTGGAGGTGGCATTAAGTTTTACCCTTGTACGTCCTGAAATTGGTTTCCCTTCTCTAACTTTAGAGTGTCTCAACCAAATGTTATGAAACTTATACACAATGCTTATTACCACAAAACACAGATCAAATTAGAATTTGGGTGGCATCACTTTTACTGTTCTAGAGTTATGCCCCTTTACAAATGGAAAAATTGCTGAAATTTTTGTTTCCGTTCTCGAGTTAAGTTTACCTCAACCAAATGTTATGAATCTTATACACAATGAATGTTACCACAAAACACCGATCAAGTACGAAGTTGGGTGTCGTCACTTTTACCGTTCTTGAGATGTCCTTTTATAAAGTTATATGCAAGCGGGGACATCATCTGTATCCCATGGACACATTCTCCATTTATTTTATGAAATTCTAATGACTAATGAGTAATCCAGAAAAATGGCCTGAGGTAATTGGAACTCTATTCTAATTGGGTACAACCAACTGATTTTAAATTTTTTCTGTAATGCATAAAAATCAATGAAACTGATAATATATCCCCACAGGCCCACACACCTAGATTAATAAAAATATAGATATTTATTTTCGATCATATATATATACTTTATTACAGCCACATTAGGTGTAGAAGTCCATCCATTAAAATTTCACACAAACAGAGGAGAAATGGTGTTCAATGTGTGGGATACAGCAGGACAAGAAAAATATGGTGGTTTGAGAGATGGCTATTATATCCAAGGTAAGACTTAAAACACAGTACAATTTATGTTACAAATCTGCTTGAAAATTATAATAGAGGTTTCATAACAAGTGAAAATTGGATATCACTTGATATCAACTCCAGTTATTTAATTTCAATATAATAATAAACGATTCTTTGGTCAGTTTATTGTAACTATTTAAATTAAATAATGAGACTTGATATAAAGCGATATCCAGTTCTCGCTAGTTGTTAAACCTATTTCTCTTAACACCCTTTTTGTGTTAAATAAAAAATTCAGTGAATCTTTGATCTAGTCTTTTGCACATGCCATGAGGACCACGAGTGACGTCATATGTCCTTTTCCCGCGTCAATCTTTAACATCGGACATTTTAAAACTTTTTGCACGCTTCAGAATGTAATAAATTGGACAAAAAGAAGATTTCCAGGTGACAAGTGTGGGTGTTTTGTATATTATTGAAGAAATCACGGTATGTCTGTTGCCATGGACAAAATGTACATCGTCTTAACCTATAAAAGTTATTGATGACCCAACGAATAGCCAATGGAAATGTCGTAATATTGTCTCATGATGCTGGATTAGCCAATCGAATTAACACAGTTTTCATATCACTTTTTCGTATCACACTCTGTGCAGTGTGATACGAGATATATCTCTTCATGCAAGAAATGGATAACAGGCCATAACCATAAGAGAATTTATTAATCAGAATAGTTGTACAGTGTGGCGTTTTCATGCTCTGTTTCGATATTAAATTATATTGGTTTTGAGTTTGGGACTGTTTCAGAAAAAAATATTTGGTGGTCAGAACTCTATTTTTGGAAAGATTGGAACTCATTTCTAAAAATTTATCATACCAACCAGGATGTAGCAGTGTTGGCCACTAAATTAACCATTGTCTTCACACAGAAATTTAGTTCCCGATATGTCTGATGTCTGTAAATATGTGCAAATGATTTGTTAAAACTTTTGTTATATTTTTAGATTAGTTATTTTAAGTATGCATATCATTTATCTGTTAAATTGTCTGGTCATTTTTGTCTCAACACATATATGTGTTTGCAGGTCAATGTGCCATCATCATGTTTGATGTAACATCTCGAGTAACATACAAAAATGTTCCTAACTGGCATCGAGATTTGGTACGAGTGTGTGAGAACATTCCCATTGTGTTGTGTGGTAACAAAGTTGACATCAAAGACAGAAAGGTCAAAGCCAAAGCTATTGTATTCCACAGAAAGAAGAACTTACAGGTATTTATAAAAGAAGGGTATAAAATTGGGAGAGAATCAGTTTGCTAATTCTGAATACAACTGTCTGCAAAGGTTTTTATAGGTTTTCAACTATATAAGATAAATTAAAAGGAAAAAGAAATATTAATTTGTAATTAGACCACATATAAAACTTAAGTTGACCAATGTGAAATGAGAAAAAGGAGTTCACCATATTATTTTTATGGTACGGTTATTTTAAACTAGCCTGTCAGATTTCACTGGAAACTATGTCTACTGCTTTTACAATGGTATTTGAATTTTCCCTGAAGAAAAACCTGAAGCATGGTCAACATTCGATAATTTAGAAAAAAAAATTGCAAGACCCATTATAAATAGACATTCCATCTGAAAGCAAGTTTAATTATATTCCTACTATTAAAGTAGGGGCAATATTACAATCACTGGGAGGGATTGTACCTGATTTTCATATAATGAAGACATAATCTTTCAATCAGTTTAATTGAGGTCTGGAGCTGGCATGTCAGTAACTGCTAGTAGTCCTTTGTTAATTTATGTATCATTGTCATTTTGCTTAGTTTCTTTTGTTACCTATTCTGACATCGGACTCAGACTTCTTTTAAACTGAGTTTTACTGTGCGTTTTGCTATGTGTGTCTTTATTTTACATTGGCTAGAGGTATAGGGGGAGGGTTGAGATCTCACAAAACATGTTTAACCCCGCCACATTTTTGGGCCTGTCCCAAGTCAGGAGCCTCTGGCCTTTGTTAGTCTTGTATGTTGTTTAATTTTAGTTCCATTATATGTTTTGGAGTTTAGTGTGATGTCCATTTTCACTGAACCAGTACACAATTTTATTTAGGGGCCAGCTGAGGACCACCTCCGGGTGCTGGATTTTCTCGCTGCGTTGAAGACCCATTGGTGGCCTTCGGCTGTTATCTGCTCTTTGGTCGGGCTGTTGTCTCTTTGACATATTCCCAGAGAAATAGAAGATACCAAAAGAAAAAATCACAAATCGAAATAAACTTGACCCTCGCCATGGTATAAAAAAATGTCAAATAAGGAGATGACAGTCCACAAAACACTACTTAGAAAACTATACAATGAGCAACATGAACCCAACCAAAATCCTGGTGATCTTGGTTGTTACAAAAGGGTAAGCAGATCCCACTCCACATGTGGGACCCATTGTGTTGCCCATGGCAAGTAAAAATTATGTGATCAGAAAAATAAAATCCCTCGAGTGTATTAAGAAAAAATGTAACAATTTTATTTAAATAAACCGTAAATCTTTTATTTCTAATTACAATATTTTTCATATGAAATTTTTTTCATTCAAGTTTTTATATTAATTCTGTTAAATTTCTTCTGTCTTTCCAAACAACAATTACACTATCATCTTGTAACATCATGAAATTTGTTCCTAAGAACTCTGAAATTGAATATTTTAAAATATTTTCAGTATTACGACATAAGTGCCAAGAGTAACTACAACTTTGAGAAACCTTTCTTGTGGCTTGCAAGAAAATTGTGTGGTGATGCCAACTTAGAATTTGTAGCTATGCCAGCCTTAGCTCCACCAGAAATCCAGATGGACCCAAACTTGGCCTTCCAGTACGAACAAGAATTAAAGGTAAGCATATGGCTGAATTAAACTGATATTAAAAAAAAAACTTGGTCAAAATGTATTGAAAGGGACTGGTAAATGGGCAAACAACTGTAGGTAAATATTTCACCAGTAACATGTGACATGTATTTTTAGTGAATTCTATACCTTCAACATATAAATGGAGTTGTGTTGATAGAATGGTACTAATTAAATATTTTCACAAAGAAGAATTAATGTAAAATGTATTACACTGCACAGAAAGTATATAACAAAATTTTTAAAAGATGGTGCCAAATTAGTGTTTATGACCTCTATTTGGTTGTGAATTGAACATAGTGTGCTATGGACACACATTTTTATTTTGATTTTAAAAATGATTAAATTAGTATTGCCATTCAAGGATCTGGAAATTTTTCCACACAATTTCGGTCATTTTGAGATGATTGAAAAGTTGGTGCCCCTTTCCAAATTGTCGATGTCAACTTGAGTCTTTACTAGATTCATAGCATCAACGAACTTGTATTGCTGTTTCATCGCATTTACTTAGTAAATGTCTTACCATTACCATGAAGAACAGTTTAGGGAAGGCAATAGTTTAAAATTGAAATGATTTTAATGACTCAAAATGGTAAATCTCTCAGACATTGCTTACGTTTCTTTCGATTTGACAAAAGTTAAAACCGGAAGTTTGCGATAAAGTTAAAGTACGAATAATTCCGGATTTATTTCCGGGATTTGTTTTGTTTATCAAATTGACATGAAATCACCATCTTTTTATGTTTTTTTTTATTTTATTACCTTTAAAAGTGTTTGAATGTAACAGACAATAGTTGCACTCGTTTAATTTAGCATGTCATCAATTTGCATTTTTCGATTAAATATTAAATTTGCTGAAGACAATTTCACGCATGCGTATTATATAGTAAATAAAGCACATGAAAAAATACTTTTTTCTTCGTAAATTTAGGTTTAATTTTTAAATCAGATTTGATGATTGTCTTTGCTGAAAAGTAATCAAATAATGAATACACTTGTCAGGGAATTTCAATTTTTGTTAAGATATTATTCTGAGCTTGTGATCACTGTCAGGTGTGGATTAAAACCACAGGTAAAAAGTGATTAGCGATCATTAGCCAATGTTTCCCGGAGGCATTGATATAGATATTAGGAGGGCCCTCAGGATTATCAAACTACTGGAGTGGCAGTTTTATTACAGGAAAGGGATTATAAACAAAAACAAGTGATCACAACTTACACAAGACAGTGCAAAATGGCGATTAAGAAATCCGATTTCAAACATTGAGTCAATGAAATGACCGAAATTACTTCTTTAAAAAAATAAAATTTGTCCTAAATCCCAATTACTCGTTTAGGACAAATAGCTTCATCTTAGGACATGACTGGCATATATGACCGTTTCCGGAGCCTTGTTGCCATTGGAAATATTGAAACCTCTGTTGAACAGAATGGGGCTTCAAGATATCTTGTTCTAATTTTGTGATTGTTTGGTAATTTTATTTTAGATTACATGGCTAGAATTTTTGATTATTAAAATTATTCTTTAAAGACAGTCATTAGCCTTTGACATATTTTACTTTAGTCTTTCAATATGCTCCATGATAACTTTGAGAACATTTCCAAACTTGAAATTTTCAAATCAATAAGTTTGTCATGTAATAACAAATCAGTTGAATTAAGGAATAAAAGGCATTATGCACCGAAAAAAAAAGAAGTTTAGGTTTGAAGTCAAAACAAATCAATTTGAAATGTGAAAGATTATGTAATACAGCTTGTGAGACTATAATATTGAATATATTGAAATGAAACTTGCTAGATGATGGGCATCTACTTTTATAAAGGCTGTATGTTAACCTGTAGATGTACATGTATGTTTTGAAATGCCAACTAGATACGGCTAGATTTTACAGTTCTATGTTAATTAAAATTGATAATTTTTTTCATTGCAGACAGCACAAGATGTAGCCCTCCCTGACGACGATGATGATTTATAATGAGTGTCTGAACTTAGTTTGACTATTCATGTGAAGTTTTTATCCAAACAAAGTAGCTGACAAACCTTGCAGATGGAGAGGACTCATTGGACATTCAGAGAATGACGATATTTAAATTTACTCCATTTAGCATAATATGGCTCATTTTTATATCTGCTCCCTCTATTATAATAATAGCGGAATGCCTTTTGGTGCAATTTATATACAGGATTGGTGCCACATTGTTAGCTGCTCTGTTGCCATGGTGATTGATCTGATATTAAACAATAGGACTGCACATTATCCTTAAGAAAGCTTTGGATTAGTCGTCGCTCTAGAAAAGAACTGTTTATTTGGGAAAAAATTATAGCTGTATATTTTAATACTTAATTGTTTAAAATCTGTAAAATGTATCATCTTTTCATGAATTATGTGAACATTTAACATACTGAAAATCATGTTATTTATTTATTTGGAAATACAGCGATAATTTGAAGCATTCTTAAGCTAGGGTTGTATATTATTTGTATTCCTTTTGATCACAATGTAATAAAATAGATGCTGCTCAAAAGGAGAGAGGCTATTATTTATAGTAAGTTGATGAATGAAAGGGTTGTATGAAAAAGAAAGTTGTTATTTTGGACTTTTTACACTATTTTGTCATATTGTGAACTTAATTTTTAGGCCAGGGCTTCATAATTTTGTTTAAATGTTTTCTTCATAGTTGATAACCTATCAATTTTGATTATTATTTTTAGTGCATTTTTAAAAAAAATCAATTTGAGGTGAATTACTTAAATTAAATTCATTGAATTTCTGTAAAATTGTGAAGCCCTGTATATTCAGATACTTTAAATGCTATTATTCTACTATAAATGCTTTGTTAGACCTAATTTTTACTTGACACAGATTTGATATAACAAAAATATGTCTTTTGTATTGTATTGAGAGAAAGGTTCAATTAGATTTTAAATGAATTGATATTGTAAACTCGTTTTATGTGAAACAAAGCATTTGTTTTATGTGATTTTCAAAAACAACAGAAAATAAATATTAAAAGTGATAATTTGTTGATATAAACATGAATGCCTTCACAATGCCAATGAATCCGGCCAGATTGGATACGAAGTCTTGGGTTTGTCTTAGGCCCACAAAATACTGTTTATGGTTACACTGGTCAGTAGCATTTACATGTATGTGTATTATGTTTTCAAGCTAAGATCAAAATTATCAGTGGTCACTAGTCTTAAGCTAAAAGTGTAATTTAAAAAGGAAAATTCTATAACAAATTCATTATAAAACGCTGTTTAACTTGAAATCCTGTAAACAATTTTGTTTTGTTTGTCTTTTTCAATCATACCACCTGATTGCAGAAAGATGCCATTTGTAATTAAACTGCCAAATAGGTAACTCATTCATTTGCCAGTACTGAGAAAAAGTGTTCAGTGTCTGTCAGGTGTAAACACACTTTATTAGAGCCACAGGATTAAGTTCTATCTTTGAGATAACAGATTCTTTTACACTTAATAAAAAGTTGAAAACATGCATACAAATGGTTTGAAATTTAAGGAAAAATCTTGTGTTTATTTGGAACTGTACTAAAATAGATTTTGATGATCATATTGTTCTATATTATGTGACAAAAATTGAATGACTTCCCAGCATAACAAAGTTACAGTATTAAGTGTTATCGAAATTCATTCGTCTTGATTTGTTAAAAGCAACTACAAAAATCACTATGTGTGGTTGCAGTCAAAAGGTTGTGCATTGTTTTGAATATTTTGCATTCTGTGAAGGATTTAACTTCCCGTCGCTTAGAATTACAGAAAATTGCCAATGAACAATTTCAATAAAAGAAATATCCCATGATGGACAGTTTGGATGGCTGGCCTCTTTTTTTGCTTGCCACTTGAGAGTAGGTCCCATGCAAATACCGTGAGGCAGAAATATCCCAGGCTACAGGCATGTATTGGACATGTGGCCATTTCATTTGAAGTAGGTGCCAAACTATTTAAAAACTTGTCACAAATTCTGAGAACAGCACTTTTGCACTATTACAAAGGAGTATGTAAAAAAAAAAAGCCTTTTAAAGATGATGTAAATAAAGGCATAAATGGCTTAATATACAATATAAGGTGAATTAGTAAACAAAATGATTTGTTAAATTGAAGATGCAGCCTTTCATCAATTTAATTAGAAAGAAAAATATTGTCAAATGTGGTCTTAATACAAGGACAGGAATTACCAACAGATGACTCAGAGAAAAAAGACAACACCAACAAGCAATACATGGTTCACATAGCATGACTAAGAACAGTGCAATACTGGGGGTCTAAACCAGTTTTTGTGTGTGCAAGCCTCCCCTTTTCCTATCCTGCTATTCAAACCATATCTCGACAATAAAATTCAAAAAACAAGATGCTTCAAAGAGCCTATATCAAGTATCTGTTAAAAATATAGTTGGTATTTATCATTTTTGCTGTTTCCAGTGTCTCAACCTCATTGTGTTTCGAGATCATAAGCAAAAACAATAAAAATCTTCCATAAAGGGCCAAAAACTCCTTTAAAGAGTCGCTCAATGGTTTCAGCCATTTAAGCACTTTTTATTATCTTGTATTACTGTTTGAAATTTCTACCTATCTATTATACTTTTTGGAAATGGCAGGCTTAACACTAGAAAATTCTTCAAAAATCAATTAAGGGCAATAACTTCCATAAAAATTCATTCCATGGTTTTGGTTGTGTGATATTTTCATAAATCTTGTAATGCTGATCAATTTTGCTGTTATTAGTTCCCACCTTTCTAATAAAGTTTTCAAAATAATGGGCAAAACCACAAAAATTGGTCTAAAATCTTTTAAATGTAAGGGCAATAACTTCTGCAAGGAGTTGTCCTATTGATATTTTTTGTATCACCTTTGGCGAAAGATGCAGAATGCAAGACATAGAGATTACAATCTGGCTGCGGCTACTTAAACTATTTGTATAAAGCTTCATATTTCAGAAGGTTGAATACCTTGTATGCAGATGCTTACCATATGTTAGGAAGTTTCCGTCTCATATTGTTCAGCAACTGCTTTTTTTTTGTCATGTGAAATACTACTTATTATGAATAATAGAATAACTGACTATATTTGGTATATTGGATCCTTGCAAGGTTTACATGTCTTGTCAGAAAGGGTTCGGCTGACCTCAATCTTATTTCATGAATAGGTGATCAAGGTCAAGTCTGTAATCTCAGATATTATAAGCATTATGTTTACTATGTGTGGAATGATTTGCAGGATTCATTAGACCTTGACCTCATTTTCAATCGTTCATTAGTCTATGTTTAGTTTTCAAGGCTATTTCCGATTCTAAAGTATTATTAGCAATAGGTCAACTATATTCTGTGTATGTAATGATTGCATGGTGTTCACGTTGTCTGGCATGGTTTATTTGACCATGACCTCATTTTTATTAGCTCACCTGGCCGAAGGGCCAAGTGAGATTTTCCCATCACTTGGCGTCCGTCGTCGTTAGCTTTTTACAAAATCTTCTCTGAAACCATTGGGTCAAATTTAACCAAACTTGGCCACAATCATCATTAGGGTATCTAGTTTAAAAAATGTGTCTGATGACCCCGCCAACCATCCAAGATGGCCACCATGGCTAAAAATAGAATAGGGGTAAAATATGTAGATTTTGGCTTATATCTCTGAAACCAAAGCATTTAGAGTAAATCTGACATGGGTAAAACTGATTATCAGGTCAAGATCTATCTGCCTTGAAATTTTCAGACAAATCTGACAACCTGTTGTTGGGTTGCTGCCCCTGAATTGGTAATTTTAAGGAAATTTTGCAGTTTTTATACGACCGCAAAAAATTTTTGCGGTCGTATATTGGCATGACGTTGGCGTCGTCGATGTCGTCGTCTGAAGACACATTGGTTTTCGCACTCTAACTTTAGTTTAAGTGAATGGATCTCTATGAAATTTTACCATAAGGTTAAATACCACAAAAGGAAGGTTGGGATTGATTTTGGGGGTTATGGTACCAACAGTTAAGGAATTAGGGGCCAAAAAGGGGCCAAAAATAAGCATTTTTGTAACTTCCAGACATAACTTGTGTGTTAGTGTATGGATCTCTCTGACATTGTACCACAAGGTTCCATATCACACAGGGAATGCTGGGGTTGATTTTGGGGGTAATTGCCTCAAAATATTAGGAATTAAGGGCCAAAAAAGGGGCAAAAAACAAGCATTTTTCTAGTTTCATGACAATAACTTGTGTGTAAGTGTATGGATCTTTCTGAGATTGTACTACAAGGTTCCATATCACAAAGGGAAAGCTGGAATTGAGTTTGGGGGTAATTACCCAAAACGTTTAGGAATAAGGGGCCAAAAGGGGGCCAAAAATAAGCATTTTTCTAGTTTCCAGACAATAACTTGTGTTCAAGTGTATGGATCTCTCTGAAATTATACCACAAGATTCCATATCACACAGGGAATGCTGGGATTGATTTTGGGGGTAATTGCCTCAAAATATTAGGAATTAGGGGCCAAAAAAGGGGCAAAAAACAAGCATTTTTCTAGTTTCATGATAATAACTTGTGTGTAAGTGTATGGATCTTTCTGAAATTGTACTACAAGGTTCCATATCACAAAGGGAAAGCTGGAATTGAGTTTGGGGGTAATTGCCCAAAACATTTAGGAATAAGGGGCCAAAAATAAGCATTTTTCTAGTTTCCAGACAATAACTTGTGTTCAAGTGTATGGATCTCTCTGAAATTGTACTGCAAGGTACCATACCACAAAGGGAAGGCTGGGATTGAGTTTGAGGGTGATGAATCATAAGGGGGTTCAAAAAATTTGGGGGGGGGGGGTTTCCTTTTTTTTCTTTTTTTCCTTTTTTTTTTGACTGCAAAAAATTTTTGCGGTCGTATATTGGTATGACGTTGTCGTCGTCGTCTGGCGTCATCCGGCGTCGTCCGAAGACACATTGGTTTTTGCACTCTAACTTTAGTTTAAGTGAATGGATCTCTATGAAATTTTACCATAAGGTTCAATACCACAAAAGGAAGGTTGGGATTGATTTTGGGGGTTATGGTACCAACAGTTAAGGAATTAGGGGCCAAAAAGGGGCCAAAAATAAGCATTTTTGTAACTTCCAGACATAACTTGTGTGTTAGTGTATGGATCTCTCTGACATTGTACCACAAGGTTCCATATCACGCAGGGAATGCTGGGATTAATTTTGGGGGTAATTGCCTCAAAATATTAGGAATTAGGGGCCCAAAAAGGGGCAAAAAACAAGCATTTTTCTAGTTTCAAGATAATAACTTGTGTGTAAGTGTATGGATCTTTCTGAAATTGTACTACAAGGTTCCATATCACAAAGGGAAAGCTGGAATTGAGTTTGGGGGTAATTGGCCAAAATGTTGAGGAATAAGGGGCCAAAAATAAGCATTTTTCTAGTTTCCAGACAATAACTTGTGTTCAAGTGTATGGATCTCTCTGAAATTGTACCACATGGTTTCATATCACACAGGGAATGCTGGGATTGATTTTGGGGGTAATTGCCTCAAAATATTAGGAATTAGGGGCCCAAAAAGGGGCAAAAAACAAGCATTTTTCTAGTTTCAAGATAATAACTTGTGTGTTAGTGTATGGATCTTTCTGAAATTGTACTACAAGGTTCCATATCACAAAGGGAAAGCTGGAATTGAGTTTGGGGGTAATTGCCCAAAACGTTTAGGAATAAGGGGCCAAAAAGGAGCCAAAAATAAGCATTTTTCTAGTTTCCAGACAATAACTTGTGTTCAAGTGTATGGATCTCTCTGAAATTGTACTGCAAGGTACCATACCACAAAGGGAAGGCTTGGATTGAGTTTGGGGGTGATGAATCATAAGGGGGTTCAAAAAATTTGGGGGGGGGGATTTTTTTTTTTTCCTTTTTTTTCTTTTTTTCCTTTTTTTTTCTTTTAAAATTTTCCATTTTAAGTCGGTTATTTCTGTTTTATATTTAAAAGCAAATAATAATGATATGGTAGGAGATACACACCAAACAGGATGTGTAAATTATTATAAAATAAGTATTGTGCAATAGCAAGAAATTTTCAATTGCACAGTATTGCACAATAGCAAGAAATCTTCAATTGCACAGTATTGCGCAATAGCAAGAAATCTTCAATTGCACAGTATTGTGCAATAGCAAGAAATATCCAATAGCACAATATTGCGCAATAGCAAGAAATTGTCAATTGTACAGTATTGCGCAATAGCAAGAAATCGTCAATTGTACAGTATTGCGCAATAGCAAGAAATATTCAATTGCACAGTATTGTGCAAAAGAAGATACTTCGTATAAATTGCTTATTTCTTGACCAATTTCAATGGGGTTTTATTCTTGAATTCTTGGGGTTCTTTAATATGCTGATTCTAACCGTGTATTAGGTTTTTGGATTTTGGGCCCCGTTTTTAAATTGGTCCACATTGAGGTCCAAAGGGTCCAAAATTAAACTTTGTTTGATTTCATCAAAAATTAAATTATTGGGGTTCTTTGATATGCCGAATCTAACCGTGTATTTAGATTCTTAATTTTTGGTTCTGTTTTCAAATTGGTCTACATTAAGGTCCAAAGGGTCCAAAATTAAACTTAGTTTGATTTTAACAAAAATTGAATTCTTAGGGTTCTTTGATATGCTGAATCTAAACATGTATTTAGATTTTTGATTATGGGCCCAGTTTTCAAGTTGGTCCAAATCAGGGTCCAAAATTAAACTTTGTTTGATTTCAACAAAAATTGAATATATGGGGTTCTTTGATATGCTGAATCTAACCATGTATTTAGATTTTTGGATTTTTGGGCCCCATTATCAACTTTGTCCACATTGAGGTCAAAAGGGTCCAAAATTAAACTTTGTTTGATTTCATCAAAAATTGAATTCTTGGGGTTCTTTGATATGCTGAATCTAACCATGTATTTAGATTTTGGATATTGGACCATAATAGGTGAATGTCCAATTTAAATTTTTTAAGTTCTTAGACCACATTCATTCTGTGTCAGAAACCTATGCTGTGTCAAATATTTAATCACAATCCAAATTCAGAGCTGTATCAAGCTTGAATTTTGTGTCCATACTTGCCCCAACTGTTCAGGGTTCAACCTCTGCGGTCGTATCAAGCTGCGCCCTGCGGAGCATTTTATTTTCTTTTAAAATTTTCCATTTTAAGTTGGTTATTTCTGTTTTATATTTAAAAGCAAATAATAATGATATGGTAGGAGATACACACCAAACAGGATGTGTAAATTATTATATAATAAGTATTGTGCAATAGCAAGAAATTTTCAATTGCACAGTATTGCACAATAGCAAGAAATCTTCAATTGCACAGTATTGCGCAATAGCAAGAAATCTTCAATTGCACAGTATTGTGCAATAGCAAGAAATATCCAATAGCACAATATTGCGCAATAGCAAGAAATTGTCAATTGTACAGTATTGCGCAATAGCAAGAAATATTCAATTGCACAGTATTGTGCAAAAGAAGATACTTCGTTTAAAATGATTATTTCTTGACCAATTTCAATGGGGTTTTATTCTTGAATTCTTGGGGTTCTTTAATATGCTGATTCTAACCGTGTATTAAGTTTTTGGATTTTGGGCCCCGTTTTTAAATTGGTCCACATTGAGGTCCAAAGGGTCCAAAATTAAACTTTGTTTGATTTCATCAAAAATTGAATTATTGGGGTTCTTTGATATGCCGAATCTAACCGTGTATTTAGATTTTTAATTTTTGGTTCCGTTTTCAAATTGGTCTACATTAAGGTCCAAGTCCAAAATTAAACTTAGTTTGATTTTAACAAAAATTGAATTCTTAGGGTTCTTTGATATGCTGAATCTAAACATGTATTTAGATTTTTGATTATGGGCCCAGTTTTCAAGTTGGTCCAAATCAGGGTCCAAAATTAAACTTTGTTTGATTTCAACAAAAATTGAATATATGGGGTTATTTGATATGCTGAATCTAACCATGTATTTAGATTTTTGATTTTTGGGCCCCATTATCAACTTTGTCCACATTGAGGTCAAAAGGGTCCAAAATTAAACTTTGTTTGATTTCATCAAAAATTGAATTCTTGGGGTTCTTTGATATGCTGAATCTAACCATGTATTTAGATTTTGGATATTGGACCATAATAGGTGAATGTCCAATTTAAAATTTTTAAGTTCTTAGACCACATTCATTCTGTGTCAGAAACCTATGCTGTGTCAAATATTTAATCACAATCCCAATTCAGAGCTGTATTAAGCTTGAATGTTGTGTCCATACTTGCCCCAACTGTTCAGGGTTCGACCTCTGTGGTCGTATCAAGCTGCACCCTGCGGAGCATTTTATTGGTTATTATCTTGAATATTATTATAGATAGAGATAAACTGTAAACAGCAATAATGTTCAGCAAAGTAAGATCTACAAATAAATTGTCATGACCAAATTGTCAGTCGACCCCTTTAGGAGTTATTGCCCTTAATAGTCAATTTTTGGTAAATTTTTGTAATCTTTTACAAAAATCTTCTCCTCTGAAACTACTGAGACAAATTTAACCATACTTGGCCATAATCATTATTAGGGTATCTAGTTTAAAAAATTTGTCCGATGACCCCGCCTTCCAACCATCATGGCCGACTTGGTTAAAAATAGAACATAGGGGTAAAATGCAGTTTTTGGTTTATATCTCTGAAACTAAAGCATTTAGAGCAAATCTGACAGGTGGCAAAAATGTTCATCAGATTTAGATTTATCTGCCCTGAAAATTTTTAGATGAATCCGACAACCCGTTGTTGGGTTGCTGCCCCTGAGTTAGTAATTTTACAAAAATTTTGCAGTTTTTTGTTATTATCTTAGATATCATTATAATATCTAATATCTAATACTATTAATTATGATTTTAACCTTATTTTACATGATTTCCAAAGCATCAGTAAATACAGGTGAGCGACACAGGCTCTTGAGAGCCTCTAGTTGTTCATAGGTCAATTTTATTATTTTGGTAATTAGGTCTGTTTCTCAGATACTATAAGCAAAAGTCTTTAACTATATTTGGTGTATGGTATGAAATTCAACCATGAGGGAGAAATTTCAGCTGACGCACTCTAAATATACTGGCATTATTCAACTTGTTGAATATTCTTGCAAGAATCACCTGATCTCAACCTGATTTTATAAATCAGTGATCGAGATTAACTTTTCGTTGTCAAGTCAGTATCTCAGATACTATAAGCAACAAGTCAACAGCCTCTGGGTGTGGAATTTTCTTGCTGCGTTAAAGACCCATTGGTGGCCTTGAGCTGTTTTCTGCTCTTTGACACATTCGCTGTTTCCATTCTTGATTCAATATTTTGTGTACCGAATGATTGTAATGTGTACATGTCTGACTGGTTAGTTTCCTCTGACCTTGACTTCATTTTCATTCATTGGTCTATGTTAAGTTTTTGTGGTTTGGTCGTTTCTCGGATATTATAAGCATTAGATCAGCTGTTCATAAAATTTCAAGCATGATTATTGTACTCAAGACCAACCAATCAAAATACTGGATTTGGTGTTTCCAGCACAAGTTTTCTACTCCCAGTACTGAGTAAAGTTTTATGACCTACAGCCCTGGTCTCATGTACATTAGCTCAATTATTGGAGACAGGTTTTAACGTTATAAGAACTCAGCAAATTCTTGATTATTATTACCGAATAATGACCATTTTTCTCTTTTTGCACCATAACAAAGCAGAATAAGATGTGTTGAAACAGCAGTTCTATTACTGAAAATTCTGCTGAATTTTCAAATCAATCAAGGTACTGTAAATTAATAAAATATTTGAGTTTTATTAAATTTTGAACACAAATAATGCTATCAAAATATTTCAAAACAAGTTTTTAAAATTTTTTGCAAAACCTATCCTGTTGCAATTTTTCGCAACAATAAAAACAAGAACAAAAATTTCTGAATTAACAGTCAGTATTCTATCAGATTCCAGCAAAATTTCCAATCTGACCCATTAATTTTACTGAAGAATGTAAAAAAATAATACAGCATAAATCAAGAATTGTGCCTGGTGCAATCTTAGGCAATGATTACATTCATAATAAGGTGAAATCAGTATTCTTTGTTAAAGACATTTATTGTAATATCTAACAATACCAATTTATAAGGTAGTTTCAGTTAATAATTACGATATGGTATTTATCCATAAATAACAAACAGATCCCAAGCCAAACAGTCTTTTGGGCATTCCAAAACAGCCATTGTAATATCTTCATAAAGTTAAAATCAATAAAATATTTGTTTGTAGTAATTTCTTGGTTCCACAGTTGATAATATTTTCATGGTTCCCATCTTCCTATACAATCTCTAATGCAAGTCAGTTGAGTCAATAACACACATCATTACAGTTCATAAATAAGTTATTTTATTTTTAAAAGTGTGCTTTCCTTTTTCTTCCTGTGTATTTTGTATCAGGTCTAACTTCTCTACAAAAAATAGAATATGAATTAGTTTTTTATAAGTAATATTGATAATAATTTACTATAAATTCATCAAAGATTATCATTTTAATCATGCAATTTATGTATTGGTCTGCATACGTGTAGAATTTTTTTTTGTATTAATTACACAAAGCTTTTGGCCTGCTATATAAGACTCAACTTTTGTCAGGCTGCTGGTCTTGTGTAGATCCACAGAAAATATCAGTATTCATGATATCCTGTGAATTTTCGGAATTTTAATTCTTACAATACTTCTCCTTAAACACAAAATATGTCTCTTTATGGTTTTCCTACCGACTATCATCTTTAGAGTTTACATTGCTAACAGTAAGTTTTCAATTATACCTATGAATATGAAAAGTTCAAATATTCATCCCATTTAAAAACTAGATGTGTTGGAATGACACAAATGGCCCTGCTTGCAAATTTTCAAAGTCCAGAGCCTGTAATTTCGGAAAAAATCAGTAGAGCAGAACCAAATCTAAACTCGATCTGTAACTTATCATAGTAGACTAACATATTAAAAATCAGCTCAATATGTGAAGGCGTTTAGAAAAAAAAACCTTACTTCTAAGTATTTTTCAAAATATCCAATAATGAACAGTAAATTTCAAACTATATTTATACATAATTTCTAAAACTAAAATATGATACTTATCTATTTTTAACTATGAATCTACTAACAATTGCTGTTAATTGTGCAATACGGCTATGAATTTGGATTGTGATTAAATATTTGACATCGCATAGGTTTTTTGACACAGAATGAATATTGTCTAAGAACTTAAATATTTGAAATTTGACTTTTACCTATTATTGTCTAATATCCAAAATCTAAATACATGGTTAGGTTCATCATATCAAAGAACACCAAGAATTCAAATTTTGATGAAATCAAAGTTAAATTTTGGACCCTTTGGACCTCAATGTGGACTTATTTGATAATGGGGCCAAAAATCAAAATTCTGAATACACAGTTAGATTCAGCATATCAAAGAACCCCATAAATTCAATTTTTGTTGAAATCAAACAATTTTGGACCAACTTGAAAACTGGGCCCAAAATCAAAAATCTAAGTATATGTTTGGATTCAGCATATCAGAAAACCCCTTGAATTCAATTTTTGATGAAATCAAACTAAGTTCAATTTTTGACACTTTGGGCCTTAATGTGGACCAATTTAAAAACTGGGTCTAAAATCAAAAATCTAAATTACACAGTTCGATTCAGCATATCAAAGAACCTCAAGAATTCAATTTTTGTTGAAATCAAACGAAGTTTTATTTTTGAGCCTTTGGACCTCAATGTTGACCAATTTAAAAACTAGATCCAAAATCTAAATACACGGTTAGATTTAGCATATTAAAGAACCCAAAAAATTAAAGACTTTGAATTAAACCCCATTGCAATTGCTCAAGAAATAAGCAGTTTATACAAAGTATTTTTTATTGTTTTTGGCCCCTTTTTCCCAAACTGTTAGGGCAATAACCCCCAAACCCCCAAAATCATTCCCAACCTTTTTTTTTGGTATGGAGGCTTTTGTGGTACAATTTCATACAGATCCATAGACTTATACTCAAGATATTGTCTTGGAAACATGAAAATCCATTCACCCCCCTCCCTCCTTAACCCCTAATTCCTAAACAGTTTGAGCCATAACCCCCAAAATCCATCCCTGCCTTCCTTTCAAAGCATGGAACCTTGTGGTACAATTTCATAGAGATACATACACTTATACACAAGTTATTGTCCTGAAACAAGAAAAATGTTTGTTTTTGGACCCTTTGTGGCCCCTTATTCCTAAACAGTTAGGACAATAACCCCCAAAATCAATCCCAACCTTCCTTTTGAGGTATGGAACCTTGTGGTACAATTCTATAGAGATCCAGACTCGAGTTTTTGTATGGAAACCAAATGTCTTTGGACGCTGACAACGTGATAAAATTATACGAACGCAAAATTTTGCAGTCATATTAAAACTCTGTATAATTGTTCGTTGCGGAATAACGGACAAAGGTAAAACTATATCGCCATAACCACTAAGTGGCGGGGCCAAAAAAAAAAAAGGTAAAAAATATCATCAAATAAAAAGAAATTATCAACATACTACATTCTTCACTTTGATAAGAACAAGATTACACAAGCTGAAATCTCTCACCTGCTTTACTGATCATGATTGAATTTATGTTAAAAATCTTTAAGAGAAATAACATAAAACATAAAATTATCAATGCTCCATGAAAATGAGGTCAAGATGAAGGTCAGATCAATACATGTGTCATAGGCAAGACAATTACCCATTAATAATTACTTTGCTTGGCCTACATCAGTTCCTAAATTAGTTACTCACTTTCCTTGTCTCCTCCTTCGTTCTTTTTTCTCTAAAATCCAATCTCTGCTTTTCTTTGGATTTTTACCTCTTAATTGTTTAAAGTTTTGTCTGTAGAAATAAAAACTTCATTATTTACATGTCACTTATATTTTTTGATTGAAATGAAAATGATTTAGTTGCCATAATTACAACAATTCATTATGCACAACTGTTGCAATGACATGCCATAGATAAATGACATTTCCCCACATGTTATAAAACCATAATTCACTGTTTCAGCTATAAAGTTTTCATACATACACTAACAAGATAGTGATTGGTTAACAACATCATAAACGATTGGTATTCAACCAACTGGCACTCTTATTTTCATTTTGGTGATAAACAATAAAACTTACTACATTACTTTAGGTTATGAAATGGTGTTTTTTTTTTCGATAAAGTTATTGTATTGGATTTTTCAACAAACATTCACTAATTTCTGATATAAGGGGATGACTATTTGATATTCTGGGGATGGGGACCAGGAGAATTTTTTCTGATGGTATAATCATTTTTATCTTTTGTTAGTCTCGCTTTTTTTGGTTTGATCTACTGAATGTGCACAAACACTTACTTTCATTTTTGTACACCTTTATACCTTGCATATTGTTGGGTTAACTATTCACTTTTTTTCTTGTTTTATGCAACGTTGTATTAATTTTCAAATTCCTCACATGTGTGTTGCTGGAAAATTTGTTAATTCATTGTAAATTTTTACCAGGAAAATCTGCCTGTTTTACTGCAAGTCACAAGATATTGTGTATAAGGGACTATTTCACCTTTTTATATGTTGTATTACTGGCAAACTTAAATTTGTCACTATCCAAATAGTTGCGTATTTTTGTCAAAGTTTCCCTGTTACTATATTCAGTCAAATTTTGTGTGTGCCTATCTGGCAAGGTATTTTATAAGCCAGTGTAATTTTTTATATCGTCTGCAAATTTAACGCTATACCGTTTAAATATTTCTTATCAAAGGCCTTTTTTAATTTTATCTATACTGACAAATTTTATAAACTGTATCCCTGTTTCAAATAAATTTTACCTTCTATCACTGAAGGCAACTTGATTTTGTGAAGTATTAGCACCTTCTGTACCCAGTCCCTTGGGAAGTTGCTGTGGTTGACCGCCAGCAAATAAACATAAAAACATTCTACAAAATAAGATGCTAACACTTTTTAATGCAGTCACAAGTATTGGAGAGCAAAAATGAAGCATGCAAATGAAAAAAGGATGATTTGAGGACAGAGTCCCCATTAACAGTAAGAAAATCAAATAAATGAAAAATAAATCTAAAATCAATATACTAGTGAGTAGTGAATCCAAAAACCTTTCATTTTCACAACAGTTGAGCTTTCACATTACTGTGTTCCTGTTGACAAAGGTTGCCATGTTGTAAATCATACGATTTCCTGCATAATTGTATATCTGATTACCAAAAATATGAGGACAAATAGTTTGAATATTTCTGTTTGAGAACATCATAACATGAGTCTTTTACTTATTCAACATAGGAATGTATACAAAACAAAATTATTTCTCTGAGGAAACTCACTTGATCAATCAGACAGATTTTTGTAACATGAAGATTAATAATATAAAGCTGAATTGGTTTAAATTATATTTTCAATTAAAAATACTTTAATTAGAAAAAAAACCCCTGAAAATTGAAGATAGCACTTCTTTGTTTACATTGAAAATGTTGTCATAAATAAAATTCCTTACAACAGGACCATCATTGGGTACTTTTCCGTATTTCAGCTACTTTTACAAATAAAGTCACACTCTGTATGAATATTTAATTTTAATCCCTTCTTGTGCTCCAGTAAAAACTTTTCATTGCATATAAGAAAATTAACTTACCTAGAAGGAAAATGAAATTGTCTATTTTCTATTAGAGATTTGAGGCAAAATTAGCCAGCTGGCTTAAAGTGTCGTAAATTGATTATAATACATCTGCTTAGTTGGTAGAGCTTTCTTCTGTTGAATTTATGTTATATACCTTTCTAAAGGCTATTTCATTAACATGGATGTGGGAGGGTAAGAAGGGGAGTTTTAGTTTCAAGCATGGTCTGTTCATCATGGTTGTTTGTCTATTTAATGTATGTGCAAAATAATCATTAGAAAGTATATTGGTTGTGGAGGAATATTGAAAGTCCATTTAATGAAATAGCTCTTAAGTTCCATTACTCCTCAATGTCATATTAGAAATTTATAAAATAAATGGGGAATGTGTCCATGGGACACAGATGATGCCCCAGCTTGCATATAACGTTTTAAAGGTACATAACTCAAGAAAGGTAAAAGTGACACTACCCAAATTTGTAGTTGATCTGAGTATTGTGGTAATAAGCATTGTGTATAAGTTTCATAACATTTGGTTGAGACAAACTTAAAATTAGAGAACGGAAATGAAAAATTCACCAATTTTCCCATTTGTAAATGGGTATAACTCTAGAACGGTAAAAGTGACGTTACCAAAATTCAAACTTGATTTGTGTTTTGTAGTAATAAGCATTGCGTATAAGATTCATAACATTTGGTTGAGGGAAACTAAAGTTAGAACGGAAACGAAAAATTCAGCAATTTTTCCATTTGTAAAGGGGCCTAACTCTAGAACGGTGAACCTGACGCCACCAATATTCAAATTTGATCTGTGTTTTGTGGTAATAAGCATTGTGTATAAGTTTCATAACATTTGGTTGAGGAAGACTTAAGTTAGAAAACCGAAACCAATTTTGGGACGTCCGGACGGACCAATGTACAGACGGACTAGGGTAAAACTTAATGCCCCCTCCACTGTGGCTAAAAACTAAAGGGAGCTTATTTAAATAGATATAATACAGTCACCAAAGTTTCATGAAAACTGCTCAAAACATTTTTGAGTTATGGTCCGAAAACTGGAAAATCTCCTCCTTTTTTATGAATAAAATCCCATAACTCGGAAACATAAAATCTAAAACTTATAAAAATCAAAAGGGAGCTTACGTCAATAGATATAAAACATTCACCAAAGTTTCATGAAAATTGGTTAAAGCATTTTTGAATTATTGTCCGACATGTTGACGAAGGAAGGACGGATGGACAGACAAAGGTATACGATATTACCTCCTGTAAATGGGCGCATAAAATAAAAACAGCTCTTCATAAAACCAAATAGAATTGACCACATGTAAGAAAATTTGTTTATATGAATTTCATTGTAAAATAAAATGCTCCGCAGGGCGCAGCTTGATACGACCGCAGAGGTCGAACCCTGAACAGTTGGGGCAAGTATGGACACAACATTCAAGCTTGATACAGCTCTGAATTTGGATTGTGATTAAATATTTGACACAGCATAGGTTTCTGACACAGAATGAATGTGGTCTAAGAACTTAAAAATTTTAAATTGGACATTCACCTATTATGGTTCAATATCCAAAATCTAAATACATGGTTAGATTCAGCATATCAAAGAACCCCATATATTCAATTTTTGCTGAAATCAAACAAAGTTTAATTTTGGACCCCGATTTGGACCAACTTGAAAACTGGGCCCATAATCAAAAATCTAAATACATGTTTAGATTCAGCATATCAAAGAACCCTAAGAATTCAATTTTTGTTAAAATCAAACTAAGTTTAATTTTGGACCCTTTGGACCTTAATGTAGACCAATTTGAAAACGGAACCAAAAATTAAGAATCTAAATACACGGTTAGATTCAGCATATCAAAGAACCCCAATAATTCAATTTTTGATGAAATCAAACAAAGTTTAGTTTTGGACCCTTTGGACCTCAGTGTGGACCAATTTAAAAACGGGGCCCAAAAACCCCATTGAAATTGGTCAAGAAATAAGCAATTTATAAGAAGTATCTTTTTTTGCACAATACTGTGCAATTGAATATTTCTTGCTATTGCGCAATACTGTACAATTGACAATTTCTTGCTATTGCGCAATATTGTGCTATTGGATATTTCTTGCTATTGCGCAATACTGTGCAATTGAAGATTTCTTGCTATTGCGCAATACTGTGCAATTGAAGATTTCTTGCTATTGTGCAATACTGTGCAGTTGAAAATTTCTTGCTATTGCACAATACTTATTATATAATAATTTACACATCCTGTTTGGTGTGTATCTCCTACCATATCATTATTATTTGCTTTTAAATATAAATCAGAAATAATCAACTTAAAATGGAAAATTTTAAAAGAAAAAAAAAAGGAAACCCCCCCCCCCCCCCAAATTTTTTGAACCCCCTTATGATTCATCACCCCCTAACTCAATACCAGCCTTCCCTTTGTGGTATGGTACCTTGCAGTACAATTTCAGAGAGATCCATACACTTGAACACAAGTTATTGTCTGGAAACTAGAAAAATGCTTATTTTTGGCCCCCTTTTGGCCCCTTATTCCTAAACGTTTTGGGCAATTACCCCCAAACTCAATTTCAGCTTTCCCTTTGTGATATGGAACCTTGTGGTACAATGTCAGAGAGATCCATACACTTACACACAAGTTATTGTCCTGAAACTAGAAAAATGCTTATTTTTGGCCCCTTATTCCTAAACGTTTCGGGCAATTACCCCCAAACTCAATTCCAGCTTTCCCTTTGTGATATGGAACCTTGTAGTACAATTTCAGAAAGATCCATACACTTACTTACACACAAGCTATTGTCATGAAACTAGAAAAATGCTTGTTTTTTGCCCCTTTTTTGGCCCCTAATTCCTAATATTTTGAGGCAATTACCCCAAAAATCAATCCCAGCATTCCCTGTGTGATATGGAACCTTGTGGTACAATGTCAGAGAGATCCATACACTAACACACAAGTTATGTCTGGAAGTTACAAAAATGCTTATTTTTGGCCCCTTTTTGGCCCCTAATTCCTTAACTGTTGGTACCATAACCCCCGAAATCAATCCCAACCTTCCTTTTGTGGTATTGAACCTTATAGTAAAATTTCATAGAGATCCATTCACTTCAACTAAAGTTAGAGTGCGAAAACCAATGTGTCTTCGGACGACGCCGGACGACGACGACGCCAACGTCATACCAATATACGACCGCAAAAATTTTTGCGGTCGTATAAAAATACCAATAAAAATCAAGACAGCAACATACTTTTTAGCCTTTGTACTGTTAGGAAAATCTACAACTAGACCCCCAGTAAAGCCTGCTCTCATTGCTTGTTGTGTTATCAATTCTAACTGAAAAAGAAAGACATGAGGATGAAACAAGAACCCATACCCCCACTGGTAATTTAAAGTATCAATAAACAGGAAGTAGGTGTCTAGCAGATCCAAAAACACTCAATGATCAGATGTTACAACTCATCACAGTCAAGCTGCTGACCAAATATCAAGTCATTCTATTCAAGTTTTTTTTGGAAAAGTGTGACAAAAATATTTGTTTTCATTCAATATGTTGAAAAATTCAAAACATCTGTAAACAGGAAGCAGGTATCATACAGATATAAAAAGCACTCATACACCTCATTCTTTCAAGCTAAAACCAAATATGAAGTCATTCTGTGCAGAGGATCTCGAGAAATATTTAACTAAATTTTTAAGTTAATTTCATAACCCTATCTCGAACCTAACCCTCTTTTATTGGAACAAACTCATATTTAAAATTTTACAAAACCAACAATGCTTTAAAATGAAAATCACATGAAAACTTCAAACAAAGCAGTGAAGTGTAATTGTAACTCATCTGTTAACTTTATCCATAGTAAGGCATAAACTGTATTTGTTTAAATAATGATACCTAATAAAAAGTGTCTCTTTGCAATACACATTGCAGTACTTCAAATAGATCACATTTAAAAGAAATGGAAATTAGAGCTATTTTCCTAATGCATGTAGTTTAAAGGTTTGGTTGGCTTGCTTGCTTTGTTTGTATAAATGTTTGCTCAAGCTTCAGCTTGTATACATTGTTCTTGAATGTTATTGGATGTTAGGTATAATGCAGAATATATATAATGTATACAAGCTGAAGCCCCGCCTATCTATTGATTGTAGATGTCAATCTTAATTACAATGCTTGAGCAAACAGTCATACAAACAAATCAGGGATGCCAACCAAACCTTTAAACTACAAGCATTAGGAAAATAGCTCTAAATACCAGAGAAAATTTAAACTTGAGTGTAAGAACTTTTTAAGGTTGTACCAAACACCTTGACTAAAATTAATTTGACTCGTTTAATTTTCATAAAATTTTGACAAAATATTAACTTTGGCTCTTTGACAAAAATATAAAAAATTCAAAAAACTTGAACCACACACTTTATCGGAAAAATTTCATTGGATATACATATATAACAATTTAATAAACACTAATTTTGATCATTGAGAAGCTTAATATTTCCTTAACAATAGAATGTGATTAAAAGCAGATTAAATATGTTCCATAGAATAACAAACAACAAAATTGCCATACCACATACTGACATACTAATTAAAAGCAAATCAAACACCAGGTCTAGCCACGAACAAACATACCGACAAATTCGATGCAGCAAAGACAGTTACAAATTTTCATTTTTCTGCCAAACTATAAAAGACTGGAACAAATTACCTGAACCAATAGCCTGTAGCACCACTACTGAGTGCTTCAAGGAGAAACTCACTAGAGAGATGCTCCTTGACACTTACAAACACCTACATGTTTAATGTGTATCTTTTTTTTATCTTATACCAAAAATTAAAAATAAAAATTGAAAAATATTACATACATATACATTTGTATATATAAAAATTGAAAAATTATTATGAAATCAAAAATATATTTTTAATCATTAACAATATTGTTAAACCAGGCATGCGCCAGAAAGTAATCATCAACCAGTTGATGTTTTTCTGTATATAAAGAAGAAGAAGAAGAAAGAAATGTTCAGCTGAATTTAACAGAGTTATCTCCCTGTAGTGTTATGTACCACCTTAAGAGCTAAAAGTAGTTATCTATTTGCAGTCAGGATAATAGGATTTGCCCAGAAGTTTTGATTTTTTCATCTTTTTTCCTATGAACATGGTATTGTATAGATATTCTTTGATTTATAATTTTAGATTGCCCCTTGGTAAAGTTAGCTTGTTAAGAAAAAGCTTCAGTCCTTTATTTAATAAAAGTTTGACGCCAACTTCATTTTTTATGTGTCAGTAACATCGCCATATCACAGATTAAGCTGGTTAAAAAACTTGCAATTAACATTACTTTTATTTGCATCACAAACTATCGTTGTTCCTAATTTGCTTTACTAAATCATTGAAAACGGCATATGGTCTACCAAAGGCACTGAATTGATTATTTATGAAATCTTGCCATACCAGTAAAACCATAAAATGTACAAAAATGTAACAATGGTTTATTGTAAAATACTTTACTTGTTGACTGTTTTCTGGATATAGTTGGAATACAGCCTTGCCTCCTCTACACTGAAACATATATTTTTTTGCAAAATTACTTTGTACAAAAACTGTGAAAATACAAGTTAAGAATACTCCAAGTTCCAACTTTTTCTGAAAGTATGAAAATTGGTAACCATTTAATTGAATGAATTTACAATGGGTTCTTGACGCTTAACAATGATAAAAGTTTTAAAACCCTTTCAAAATCATGAATATGTGGCAAAAAGATTCAATAATTCTGTGTATTTCAACGCTTATCTTTTCTAATATCAGAAAAATTCACAAATATCACATCTTTAAATTGTTTGCTGACTTCCTCTTTTCTCACAATAAAAACAAACATTAAACATTTTTAATTGGCAAACATGCCATAAAATTACTTGAATCGGGTGCCAGTGTACCGTAAGTTTTAAGTAAATAAAATCACTGTAATATAAAAATATGGAGATGTGGTATGATTGCAAATGAGACAGATCTCCATCAGAGACTTAAGGATGTAGATGTAGAGAGTTTACATTGTAAACATCTATAAGTCATTGTAGGTCCTTCAACAATGAGCAAAACCCATACTGTATAGTAAGCTATAAAAGACAGTAAATGACAAAATGTGAAACAATTCAAAGGAAAAATTCAACAGCTTGATTTATACTATAACAATGAATAATTATGGCAGACAGCAACCAAGACAACAATGGTGGTTACCATGCTTCATGGTTTACATACATACCAGACAGGCATACAATGTTGTGAAGAACTGGAATAATCTCTTTGGTGGATGGTGATATTTCTTATCTGCATTACATAACCACTGTAAAGCTGATATACTAAAAAAGAAAAATTTAAACTATTAAGTTAAAGATTTGTCAAAATATTATTTAATCGATTAATTCAACAACATCTACTGTTGCCGTGGTGATATTTTTTATTAAATAATCCAGAATTCTTTCATTATACTACTGAAATTTACCCTCAAGGAACTTACTTTAAATAAATCTGATAGGAACACAGAAATTTGGCAAAATATCCCCACTCCCTTTAGAACAGTTGAGTGTCTTACCGGAATAACACTGTTGATGCAACCGTGAAATAATAACCAGAATGACTAGATTCCTAAATTAATAAACATAAAAGAACAGCCAATTTACTGTTAAAGGGCAATCACTAAAAAAAATATTTTTTGGGGTTCTTGAAAACTTTTATAAATATCGTATTGCCAGTGTTCTCTCCAAAAAACTTACAGAACCAAGGTCATGGTGCTACATTTTTCACCATGGTGCTATAAATTATAGAACCACATTCATAATATGATTTCATATTGTAAAAGAGGTTCTATACTTTAAGAGAAACAGTTTTATTTTCCATGGTGCTATAGAACACTGGATATGTACTTCAAATAAATATGTTACCTTGGCCTGAGAGATAGATGTTGCATACATGTGCTGGACTGTGAAACTCAGATCAGGAGATTGGGAAATTTTGGTCAGGAGTTTAGTTCTCAGATCAGGTGGTTTTTCATCGACATTAATTTTGTCGTAAATGTGACCTTCTGATGTAAAAATTGTCTTTTTATAGTGTGTTTTTTCCATCTGAATGTAATATATCAATGTGTTATCAGTACCCTTGCAGTCTTCCTATTTGAATGATATCAGTTGAAAGAAATATTGGGAAGATTCTGTTTCTGTTTCTGTTTCTGGTTTTGTTTTTGATTATTGATGGCTCATAAATAAAGTACTATGATTTAACCTTTCCTTTGAGTACAAAGAGAAAATTAAAACAGTGTTTTATTCACGCCTCTATCTTTTTTATTTGTATTCAATGTCATTGGTGTAGATATACATGATATATAAGAAAGGAATATGCTATAGGAATATTTATAACATATTAAATAGATGAAAATTAACAAACAATAACAATAGTAGTGCATGGTTTATGAGCATTAATAAAAGTCATTTTGCTAGAAAAACTTAAGACTGTCATTGTTTAAAACACTGTAAAATATATTAGCAAAAGCAATGTCTATATTACATTGACAAACGTTATTTAGTAACTATAGCCCTGGTCTTGGAACACTGGGTCATGTAAGAAGTACAAGCTGCCTTGACTGGATTTAAAACACTTGACTCTGTAATAAAGTGATTCTGGTAAAAGTTTGTGAAGTTGTTAATGTTAACACTGAGGAGGCTGTGAATTGTCTTTGAGTCAATTTTTTTCTGCTGTCAGTTTGAATCTTCTTAAGCATGTTAAAGCCTGAAGGTCCTTTAATGTCCCCATTGCAGTGTGAAATAGTATTTCTTTGTTGAGTTGAAAGTTTAATTAAATATTTTTTCGGCATCAAAACCTTCCAATGTTTGACAACATTCCACTTTTCTATCAATGCCAGTATTTACGTTTAATCATCCTTGGCGAGTACCAAAACAAGCCATATAGAGTAATTAATATCCTCTCATCTGTTGATTATTCGATCAAACTATTATAACTTGTTAATTAGCATAGGCCAGGTCAAATTCTACACATGTTGCATAATCACGTAATGTCAGGTACACCGGAAATGTTCGATACACTCAATGATAAATATTTATAAACAGCGTAGTAAAAAATGGCGTCTGAAAATTTTATTCATAAATTTTCTTATACACAGGATTTTTTTCTCAACAGGAGGACAGGATCAGACCCCTGAAAATGGGATTATTGTACTCCCATCGAGAGGTTCACATGTATGACATTCAAACCTGAATCCTGATGCAAGTTTAATAGTTTTACATATATCTTGATATAATTCTTATAAAAATAAGAAGATGAGGTATGATTGGTAATGAGACAACTCTCCACCAAAGACCAAATGCTGCATAATGTAAGCAACTATAGATATAAGTACAGCCTGTTTGGATTTATACACCTTTTTACCTAATGACTGCATCAAATGTTCCTGCTTTGAATGGCATACCATCTCCCATATCACCTAACACAAGATCTCCTTCAGATTCTTTTTCTACTGCTATGTCTACAATAGAGCAAATTAGAAGACATAAAACAAGATCGTTCAGCTGTGTGGCTTGTATTTGCTAAGAAAAGTACTGAATATTTTTGGAATTAATTTTCTGATCCATAAATTTATTACATCTTGTACAATCAAATAAATGTCTGAGAAAAGAATGCAGCTTTTTAAATTTACTGAAAATTTGAAAACTTTTATGCCAGCATTGTGTATTATCTTTTTAATTGCTGAATAAAGGCTTTCACAAAATTCAAATACTAACCAAATAACTTTGACCAAAAACTAATTGCAATGGCCTTCATGACAAGTGACATCATAATGGTGATATACAGGATTTTAGCGATTTTCAGGAACATTTTTGTTATTAGTATATCAGTATACCCAGTGTTACCCAAAATGTTTTACCCAACAAAAAGAATATTAGAACAAAATACACTTTTTAATCTTTTAGGTCAAATACTGTGCATAATATTCTTCCTTAGCATGAGTGTGTCAAACGGTAAAGATTTTGTGTAATTTCATCATTTTTCCATATTCTGAATAAACTATGAAAGGAAATGTTCTTTACAACAATAGCCCTGCTTCTTTGATAAACATAGATTCAATATTTAATTCTGCAAATTGAAGAAATTTTGAAATACATTTGATTTTACGGCCAATTTGGTACTAAATGGTACCTTTCTCCAATTTAAAAGTAGAGTTAGTTTTTTTGGTGCAAAGGTAATTTCAACATAAAGTTGGGTTAAGGGTCTTAAAATATGGCATTGTTTAGGGTCACTTTCTATGTATAAAATAATTCATGTTGCAGAATATGAACAATTCTATTCATTGCAAAATAGAAAATCCTTGAATATGATTCTTATTACTACAAACTACAAATACATAACACACAATTCTGTATACAAATATTATTTAGCCAAAAAAAAATATATGTTCGTTTACGGTTACCTGACAGACCCTAATTTGTGCATCATAAGTGAAATAAATGTGGATAGTGTCCACATGTGGACACAGATGATGCCCCCGCTTGCACATCATATAGTTATAAAGGGACATAACTGAAGAACGGTAAAAGTGACGCTACCCAAATTTAAACTAGATCTGAGTTTTGTGGTAATAAGCATTGTGTGTAAGTCTCATAACATTTGGTTCAAGCTAACTTAAGTAGAGAACAGAAACTAAAAATTCAGCAATTTTTCTATTTGTAAACACTCATAACTCTAGACTGGATTTGTATAAGTTTTATAACATTTGGTTGCGACAAACTAAAGTTAGAGAACGGAAACGAAAAATTCAGCAATTTTTATGTTTATAAAGGGACATAACTCAAGAATGGTACAAGTGTCGCCACCAAATTTCGTACTTAATCTGTAGTATGTAGTAATAAGCATTGTGTAAAATGAATATTTTGTATGGGTTTCATAATGTTTGGTTGGGGCAAACTTAAGTTACAGAATGGAAACTAAAAATTTTGCAATCTTTCGATTTATAAAGGGGCATAACTCAATAATAGTTAAAGTGACACTACCAAAATTCAACTTGATCTGTGTTTTATCAGTGGAAGTCAAAATTAAACATTGCATTGTATAAAGCATTGATTGTAGTTGATTCAACTATAATCATGGACAAAGGAAGATAACTCCAATTTAAAAAATTACTTGATATTTAGAAGAAAATAAAAATTTTGCAATTTTTCCATTTATAAAGGGGCATAACTCTAGAACGGTTAAAGTGACGCCACCAAAATTCAAATTTGATCTGTGTTTTGTGGTAAAAAGCATTGTGTATAAGTTTCATAACATTTGGTTGAGGCTAACTTAAGTTAGAGAACGGAAACTAAAAATTTAGCAATTTTTCCATTTATAAAGGGGCATGACTCTAGAACGGTTAAAGTGACGCCACCAAAATTCAAACTTGATCTGTATTTTGTGGTAATAAGCATTGTGTATAAGTTTCATAACATTTGGTTGAGGCAAACTCAAGTTAGAGAACGGAAACCAATTTTGGGACGTACGTACGTACAGACGGACAAGGGTAAAACTTAATGCCCCCACCGCTACAGCGGGGGCATAAAAATAACTGAACTCGTGTCAAAAGCGAAGTTAGAGTTGCCAATAAATTTAATCAATTGCCTGAAACATCCTTATGTTCACAATCGTTAATATGACAGCTGTTATAAGGAAACTCGCTACTCGCGTGATGAAATAAACACTTTGCCGCAATTTTTTGGCCAAACTTTAACTAAAGGAAATAATCCAATCATTAAAATTACGGGGAAACTCGACCAATGGACAACTTGGACCATGGGAAGATGGACTGCACGACTCAAAATCATGTCGCAAAAAATAAAATGAAAAAATTAACTAAAATAAAATTATATAGTAGCCTGTTACTTTTGACTGTGATTGTAAAAAAGGTTTTGCCCTTTCTCAATACCTGTTGGCCCAAATTGTTTTCAATGTTGGAGTTTGAACCAACAATGTGACTACCTTAACAGTATCAAGCACATTTTGACCCTGGTTTCCAAGTTATGCACCATCTTTTATTTCCTTGTTCAAGCTAAGTAAATGGACATTGTATTGGTAAGTGGACCTTGCAGGTTTTTCATTGTGTGTTTACAACACATGGTCTAGATCAGTAAAAGGGGGAGGTTGTATGGACCCTGTACCAACTCAGGCTATCTGGACCATGTGTTGTTCATTTTTTTTTTGTCTGTTAATTTGCTCTATGTATTAAAAGTAAGTCTTTCCAAAAGATATAATGGATTTAGAGAAAAAAAAGTTTTAAATATATTTGTTATATTTCACTGTATAATCAATAAATTACCAAGCATGTGGGGACTAATATCCACACCTATCCAACAATGTCCATTATCTGTCAAACATTCACCACTTAGTCCAGAACCACACCTTAGAACAGGAAAATCATTGATTTATTGAAATATTCAATATCTAATATTACAAATTTATAATAAATCATATTTACAAATCAATATAACTTTGTTCTCAATACTGCATGATACTATATGACCTTTTGTCATTTCTATTATTCAATACATCCAAACACGTACAATTCACTAAACATGTTATCATGATTCTTTGAGAGTTATAAATATTATTATAATATGCTTAACAATTAACAATGTTATATATATCTTAAGAGAAGTAGCAACAGATACACTAACTAACAGGTATTAATTCAAATTAATTATAAGTCTGAAAGTCTGTCCGAATTATTAAGAAATTAATGAAACAAATTACCCAACATCCAATATAAAACATGGCTGATCTTCAGGTAATCCTAGTAGTTCAATGGCTCTTTCTGACAACTGATTCTGTATTTCAATCATTCGAGTACTATTGAATATAAAATACATTAATGATGTTACACTTACATTTATCATGTTTATGTTTGTTTGTAACAATTAGAAGGGCTTCACGGCTTCATTTTCTATTATGTGGACTGGTACTTTTCCCATTTGTAAGAGGTAGGTTTATTTTTCATATTCTATGATTACCTTATACTTGTATAAAAATTCCATGGCCTCTGTGGCTAGTTGTCTAAGTAGTCGAACTACTGTATCACTAGCCTGTCAACACTGAGGTTGTCAGTTAATCTCCGGTATGTGGTAGGTGTGCTTGACTTCAATCTGAATTGACAAGGATTGTCAGTTTTCCTACCGTAGATCGGTGGTTCTCTCCTAGCTGGCACTCCACCAATAAAAACTGACTGCCATGAAATAGCACAAAAGTGCTGATAGTGGCGTTAAACACCAATCAATCAATCAATCAATATAAAAATTCCTCAATTCTAGCAGTACGAATAAGTTGTGTGTGGAAGTGTAAAAATAACAGGTACCACCTCTTGATGAAAGATCATCATCAAAGTATCTATAAATTTAGCTATCATGATAACTTCTCTATGAGTTAGGTTTGACTGTTAAACTGATGTCTACAATTTGTCAGGTCTGACTGTTAAACTGATAAGTAAATGTATTTATATTTGTTTTAGGGTTTAACCTTGCTTATTTTGCTATAAGACACAAGTATGCCTCCCATTGGTAAATCTTAACTCTTTGGCATACAACTGACCAACTATATTACAAACCAGTAAATTGATTGAACCTTGACACTCTTGTGAATCATGACAGAGAAAGGTGTAAACCCTTACCAACGGCATGAATGACTGAGTTTTGATTAATCATTTTACCTTTTACTCTAAAGAATTACCAGTACTTGCATATTGAACTTATCTTCAAATAGGCTTAAAAAAATGTATTGCCTCCTTGCAGCTAAAATAATTTAATTTGATAAAAGGTTTACAAAGACTATATAGGAAAATATTTTGGACTTTAATGATGCTTATCCAAAAAGACCATTCAATGTGTTAGGGTAGGCATGAACATTTAAGGCAGGTAAGAAGGCATGAAACAGAACTACATTTATTGTTGGCCTTAAGGCTGTATGTAGAGGTCCTCATGTCTTATGAAGTCTCTACCGGAACAGAAATGGTTTGTGTTAGGTTTGACTGGCATACATCATGTACATTTTGTACCTCTTAACTCTAAATATTTGGCAATATTTTTTAGAGACATATACATGTATATTTATGGTAACACTGTACTGAGCAATCTGGTTAGAAAAATTAAATTTAGAATATATTTTCTTAGTTTGCACAATATATCTTACTTTGATGTGTATTTCCTGGCTTCATCTTCATTGTAAAACTGAAATACAAACAAAATATGCATAAATCATGAGCTGAAGTCATTCAGTTCAAATAAGGGTTATTTTCAATGTTAATTTGTCAACAACTTTTTTATATTTTGGTTTTTCCCATGTTATCACGGTTATAATAATATGTTGAAACTCAATTCTTTATTCACATTACATTCATGACATTTACAGACTAAAGTTAAATGTCAGAAAGCCTGTAAGAACACTTGGATGTCAGTTTTCACAACAAATTCTTTTGCTAATAGATTCTTATCAATTTTTTACAGATTTTCTGGCTGTAGTCTAAAAAATAACTTTCTTTTAGGTAAGTGAAATTCTTAATAACCAAATAAAAGATTTGGCAATGAATAGTTGTGAAAACTGAGATGCTCCAGTAAACTGACTCCACATTGTTTTTCTTTACATTTTACTTTTAAATTTGTAAATGAGATATTGTACACAAAAACAGATATGTTGTGGATTCATTTTTCTTAAGTGGATACCAATTTTTGTCGATTGAGGAAAAATGTATTTTGTGGGTAAATAGATTTTTGGGGTTAATTGATTTTGTGGTTTTGCCAAAGTCTCCACAAAAGCCTACATAATATTTTGTTGAACACTTAAATTCAAAGTTTAACCCTAAGGCTATACCCAAGAAATCCATGATTTCACCATATAATATAATTTGGATAGTGGTACAGAGACCTGCATTGAGGTGTCATTTTACCAGATAATATAATGTGAATAGTGGTAGAGACCTTCATTGAGGTGTCATTTTAATAATTAGGATAGTGGTTAAGAGACCTGCATTTAAGTGTCATTTCACCAGACAATATAATTTTTGATGGTGATGCAAAGACCTTCATTGAGGTGTCATTTCACCAGATAATATAATTTGGATAGTGGTTAAGAGATCTGGATTCAGGTGCCATTTCACCAGACAATATAATTTGGATAGTGGTACAGTCTACAGAGATCTGCATTGAGGTATCATTTCACCAGATAATTTAAGTGTGATAGTAATAATAATAATAATAATAAATTCTTTATTTAAAGAGGGTAAACTCAGTTAGTTACAATAAACTAATCTTCCCTGAGGCCCTCACATACAAATTACAATACAATCAAAAACAGATATTTACACATAGTTAATTTACAGTCAATTAGTTCAATGTAATATTACTAAGATGATAAGATATAAGGCTGTTCAAGATGTACATGTAGTCAAAAAAATCAAATACAAATAAAAATAAAAGAATATACAAATACCTTGTAGAAAATATAATCTTATCAGGACTGTGTTAAGTACTTCTTGATACTTTGTTTAAAAGTATAAGTGTTTTGAGCTTTACGCATTTTGTGTGGTAGTCCATTCCATAACACTGATCCAGAATAAACAAAAGATTTCTTAAATAGCTCAGCTTTTGGCTTAGGAACTATCAGATTACCTTGAGTGACGCCTCTCAGGGAGTAAGGATTATTATCTGATTTCAGTTTAAACTTTTGAACTAGGTACATTGGTGCTTCCATACGCATACATTTATATAGAAGTAAATATTTGTGGTATTTTATTCTATTGTCAACTGTCATCCACCCAAGTTTTTTAAATAAGGGGGCTGAGGGGGATAAAGGATCTGCATCTAGAATTAATCTTGCTGCCCTTTTTTGGAGTTTTAAAATTCTTGCTATCCCTTCATTTTTACATTCACCCCAAATAATACAGCAGTAGTCAATCAGGGGCAGAATATATCCATTGTAATATGTTTTCCTTGCATTTATATCTAAAAATTTCTTTATTTTAGAAAGAAGGTATATTCTGGATGATATATTAGCACAAACTTGGTCAATTTGATTTCTCCAGTTAAGTGTGCTGTCAATTTTAACACCTAATAATTTTTCACATGAAGAATTTTGTAATACTTTTGAATCTATTATTAAGTTTGGTTGATAAGTCTGAATTGATAGTTTCTGCTTTGTTCCAGTAACCAAACATTTTGTTTTATTTGCATTAATGAACATGTTATTCATTTTGCACCACTCTTCAACCCTGTATAAATCTTCTTGAACATCATCATGTATATTTTCTATGTTTTTCCCTGATTTATGAAGAGTGGTGTCATCAGCATATAGGTCTGTTTCACAATTTTCAATGCATAAGGGAAGGTCGTTTATAAATAGCACAAACAATAGAGGACCAAGTATAGAACCTTGGGGGACACCAAATTTTACATGTTGTTGTTCAGAGTAAACATTACAAATGTTTACCTGCTGTTTTCTGTTATTCAGGTATGACTTGAAAAAACTAACAGTAGCCTCACTAAATCCATAAATTTCAAGCTTTAAGCAAAGAATGTCATGATAGTGGTTAAGAGACCTGCATTGAAGTGTCATTTCACCAGACAATATAATTTGGATGTTGATGCAAATACCTTCATTGAGGTGTCATTTCACCATATAATATAATTTGGATAGGGGTTAAGAGACCAGCATTGAGGTGACATTTCACCAGACAAAATAATTGAAATAGAGGTAGAGTCTACAGGGGTGGGTCTTTTCACCACCGCACACCACCGAACACCAAAAAAAACAACATCAACCACTAAGAAAATCAGTGATTTTATACAATAAAACGATAATATCAATTAAATTACGTCTAATTTAACAAATTTTTAGATGTTTATGTGCATCATTTTTCTGTTAAAGTCGATTATCAATATCATCAATATAAAGAAAAACGTCTCCGGATTCATCACTATTTTTCTAGATTACATTGTGTGTGTACAAGAATCATTTGACATCAATTACTGATGAAGGATATTAGTTACCCGAAATATTTAACATTTGTTCATGACTCTTTTCTTATTATTGGTACAACTATTTTACGAAAGAAAAAAATGAAGAAAACAAAATTATTTGAGGTGTCCAGTGGTGGTTTGCAGAGTTGTAGTGTTATAGACTCTCCTTTTCTGTTCGATGTAGATATTTGTTCTCTTAACCTTATTATTTGTTGAACTAATAACTTAAATATTATATTTAGGTCACATTTAAAACAATAAGAGATAAAAAAATTAATTTTTGGGGTGTTCGGTAGTGTTCGGCGGTGTGCGGTGGTGTTCGGTGGTGAAAAGACCTACCGGAGTCTACAGAGAGCTGTATTGAGGCGTCTTTCTACCAGATAAATATAAGTGTGGTAGTGGTTAAGAGACCTGCATCCATGTGTCATTTCACCCGACAATATAATTTTAAATAGTGGTGCAGTCTACAGGGACCTGCATTGAGGTGTCATTTCACCAGATATTATAATTTGGATAGTGCCTTTAGTGGTACAATCTACAGTACAGATACCTGCACTGCCACTGGGTGTCATTTCACCAGATAATATATTATTTGGATTTCTTTTTATTACTGTCAAGAGAATAAAACATCCATAAACACGATTTCACTGTTTTGAAATGCAACTTTTGAGATGTTACTGACTATTTCTGGAGGAGCTTGTCTTTCTGGTCTGCCACCATGTGCCATTGTTGCTGTTTGATACTTTACTTAAAACTCAGAGTTTTTGTACCGACTTCAGAAATTTATTACAGCAAATCCCATTAAAATGAAATATATTCTGAAATTAATAAGGAAGTATTAGTAGAATTATTTGTTCATGAATATAATGACTGTCTGGGTAATTTCATTAATTAATTACAGAAACTTAGGTTTGAAATAATAGAGTTCAGATTTTGAAAGGAATTATTTTATATCAACCGAAGATAACATTCGATCTCTATCTTTTGAACTCTTGAAGCGGACGGGATTATATGCAAAAGTGTTTGTTGACGGGTTGACTTTTGCAGAATATGTATTTGACATGCACGGAAAAGAGTTAAATACAATTCTATATAAGAGACCTTTATCAGATTAACCTCCATTCATTGATGGATTAAGATAAATGTGAGAGGTTGAATGAATTTAAAACCAAAACTTAGTTGTGAAGGTCATGAATACAAAACATTCTGTAAGCAGAGGAATTTCCTCAAGTTTAAAAGGGACTAGCATCTTATATAGTCCTTTCTGTATTGGTCAGAACCGATGGTCATCAAGTAATGCCAAACAGAAATCACCTACATATTACTATGATATTCTTGGAATAACTCCAAAAGCTAATCAGCAGCAAATCAAGGAGGCTTACTATACGATGTCAAAGAAATATCATCCAGATGTCAGCCCATCTCCTGAGGCACACCTAAAGTTTCAAGAAATTTCACAGGCATATGAGGTTTTAGGAAATTCGTCAACCAGAAGAATGTATGATCGAGGTGTCAATAGACCAGAATATGCTAGAAGAAAAGAAGAACATCAATCTGATCACAAAGGAGGTCAATTTTATCAACAACATGGCTTTGCTAAAAGAGGACAAAGGCCAATGACTGGGAGAACATCTATCTATAATTTTGATGAATATTATAGAATGCATTATTCTGAAAACTTTAAAAGAAAGCAAAGAGACATTGAATTTGAAAATTTTAAGCAAAAAATACATGAAGAAAACGAGAAGATGCACAATGATTTTAGACCTATTTTTTCTTTTTCCATGGTATTATGTCTAGCTTGCTCAATAATATATTCCTTAAATAGTAGGTAATCAGGTAATACAATGAATTACTGTATATAGTACATTGTACATGAATACTATATTAGATAAGATATACGTTTGAGGTTTGCACTGGTTTTATTGTTGGGACTGCAACAATGTTGCAGAAGTGAGATACATGTATAGAAATCTGACATCTGTTGAGAATATTTTTAGCCCTGATCAGAAAAATTCATTTCATAATTTTACAATAAATATCCAGTTTAAGAAAGTCTTCATTTTAATTAAAAGCTCTAAATGATAATCATTGTAGATATGAAACTGTTCATTTGAAGGAGTAAAATCAGATTCTGTCAGAATGTCAGAACTCAGATATTAATAAGTCTAATTTTTATTTTAACTCGTAGAAGTGAATATTTTTGTGTTTCATAGGTTGTCTCCCTTTATTTCAAAACAAAAATATGACTTCAACAAGTAAATAAAAGACATTCATGATTGTATTATATGTCTCTGGCTAAATGGCTAATCTAAAAACATTTCACCTGTATCAAATATGTATCAAATGTTATGATTATTGACTTCTGCAAGTCTATGACTAAGTTATTGAAACAGCTAATAATAAGAGGATCAAACAAGTGTTTTTATTTTAATTTATATATATATATTTATTTCTTCAAACTGTTGAATAATTCTGGTACATGTATGACACTGATTTAGAAGGGGTACATTCATGCCTCTACAAAACTATGTTTGTAATGACATGTACATGTACTGTCATGACTGTCAGACATACATTATGTTCAATTGTATCAGTTTTACTCCTTTTATGATATATATGAAATATAACTAAAAAATGAAAAATTTAATAATAATATAAAGGTAGGTTATAATTGATATACTGAATGTTTTAATATTTGTCCAGAATGTTTGTACTGAGTGAAAGATTTAGAATTATAAGTTACAGCAACAGTATTGTGTGCATGTAGTGCATAAATGTATATTGAGATAATCATATTAGAAGAATTGGTAATTTATTTGTTGATACAATGTTTTTTGATTATTTTACTTGTAATAATGTATACTATTTCATGCTCCTAAACCTGCTATTAAAAACCATTAGAAAATATAGTGAATATTTGTTGGTTTGATTTTCCTATATACATGTATCTGCAGGCTTCTTTTGCTCTTACCAGATATTAGGTGGAATGGTTTGTGATATAAAACTGTAGTTTTAGTGTACATGAATGTACAGTGTTAGTATATGTATATGTAGGACTCTGAACCGCGATGGCACTCCGAACCGCGATGGTCAGGCTGAAGTGTGATGGTTGACGCTGAATTAAGTGCTTTTTTGATCACACTGAAGTGCCTTGGTGTCATTGTTACGCTATCTTGTTTATAGCTACGCCAACGTATGATGGTGGTTACTCTGAAGTGCGATGGGTTACATATACTATATTTTTAGTGTTTTTCATGTTCACATGTTGATGAAGAAGTAAATATGTTTGCTAGAAGCAGCTTTCTTGTTTATTGAGTAAATCATCGAGAATATTTCCAGTTATAAATGTAACGTTGTAGTTTACTTTGGGCAAAAAAGAAGTCAACATTCATACAATCATTCCAGCCGCTACATGCAAAGATTTTCTTTTCATTAAAACCAGTGATTATTTCAATGACTGAAAATGTGATAGCTGTTTGAAAAGCAATATAATAAGTGCCTAATGAACTTATCACCGAATGTGGTTTTTACTGCAACTAGATAAAATGTGGAATGTTTTTGTATATCCAATATGAATACAGTAAATACATTCTTAATACTACCGGTAAAGTGAAATAATTAGTAAACAGGGGAAATTTAGCCTCTCTGTAGCAGATCCGTTTTCAAAATTTACAGAAGTTTTGTTTTTACGTTCCAGGGTGCTTGGAAATATCGAACTACATACGGGTCTGCAGACAGAATCTCCGTCTTCTGATATTACGGTAAACGTAGAGCTCATGAGAGCTGAGATTACTTTAACACATATAGTTATCTCATTTGAGGGGAACAAAGTAAAGATAAACTGTTCATAATGTCTTCATGCAGCAAACTTAAAGAGAACGAGCTCTCATTTAGTATGAAACTGTAACTAAGGACATATATAGACCATCGCACTTCTGCACTTCGGCAAAGGCCATGGCACTTCAGCGTGACCATCGCACTTCAGTGTCCCCATCACACCTCCGAGTCCTACATATATACGTACAATGGCCAAGTTTCATTTCAACAAAATTATTATCTTATAGGTGAAAATCATTCATTTAGGTTCCTGGCTGTAGATTATTGTTAATTCAATACTTTTGAAATTTTATAAATTCTTTGTATTTTTACTTTTTTAAGTCAAAAATAGGTAATGCAATTTTTACCAATATAATCTCTTTTGTAATGGGAATTTAACCTGTGCTTTTTGAAAATCTGGGAAAAAAACACATTTATAGAATTTAAGGGTTTCACATATAATAGGTAGTAGCGATAGGGGCAATGGTTACCACTTTTTGGAGAATTATGTTGGTTTTATACATATACAGTTACATGTATACATTTTTACCTTTAGTGAGAAAATGAACGGTACAATGTACATTGTATTATATTTGTTTATTTTAATGAAAAGTAAATATATTTTATTTCAGTAACGTTTTTGTTTACGGGTACTGAAGAATTGTGATGAACATGAAATGTTTGTTAATTGTTATGTACAGATCATACTGAAAAGGAAATTGTGGCATTGTTAAACAATAAAGAATGATATTCAATGAAAAATGAAATTCAGAGTTAATCATTTTAGTTATTTTTTTTATTAGATATATAAAAAAAAGGATATGTGGTATGGTTGCCAATGAGTCAACTATCAACCAGAGTTCAATTGAAATGGATGTATTTAAGCAATTATAGTCAACCATAAAGCCATCAACAATGGGAAAAAACCCATAGCGTATTGTCTGCTATAAAAAGGCCCTGAAATATTATAGGAAAGTGATTGCTGCAGCTTGATTTAAGAAAACAATCTCATGCGCTTTTTTATACGACCGCACCGCAAAAAAATTTTGCAGTCGTATATTGGTATCACGTCGTCGTCGTTTGAAGACACTTGGTTTCCGGGACAATAACTTTAGTGTAAGTAAATAAAAAATCTTTGAAATTTAAACACAAGGTTTATAACCACAAAAGGAAGGTTGGGATTGATTTTGGGGGTTATGGTCCTAACAGTTTAGGAATTAGGGGCAAAAAAGTGGGAAAAACAAGGGTTTCCTAGTTAATTTACAATTAAAACAATTTAAAAGCAGTGTAAGGGAGGTAATCCAAACATAAACAATGTTTTAAATTATGTATAAAGGAATGTTGTATTGTCTTGAGGTGATAAGCTGTCAATTTACTTTAAGAAGTTACTATTAAATTTATGATGATTAAGAAATATTGATTTTAGCCATGGTTATGTATGTCATTTTCTATTTTAAGACTTTTATGATGTATTTAAATGGGTAATTATGGTTGCAAACTATGACCAAATCTTGAGGGAAAGAATTTTTTGTTTGGAAAAAGGGGGGGGGGGGGGGGGGGGGTAAAAAAGAAATTGTGGGAGGGGGACAATTTTTTCTCATTTCAGATTTCAGAAATTAAAAAGAAAATTTCTACATATTTTAATTTTTTTTGCCAAATAAATGAGGGGGGAGGGTAAAATTATTAACCGGATTTTCGAAGGAAATATCGGTTATTAAAATGGTGATATACGGCGGGCAGCTGGGCGGTTTTGGCGGCTGCCAAACAGTGTCTGCACAATAACATGAAAACGCTTTAACAATTTTTTTTCAAATTTAAGTATGTTGTTTCCTGGGACTTAGTGAAGGTCTCTATTAATTTTCAAGATTTTAGTATATCTCCTTTGTGAGTTATCGCCATTTTTAATATCCAAAAGTAGAATTTTTAAATATTTTACTGTTGTTATTATGTTATGA